CTGTGGTTATTCCTCAATCAAGATAGACAAGAGATCTAATATCAGATCACTAAAGCCTAAAGGTTTTCGAGTGTATACAAGAGCAATGTCCTTTTTTAAGCTGTAGAAAACATCTACCTTGAATACCATAAGATGAAATTTATTTTTGTAATGTTCTAGCTTCTACATTTAAAGTACAAATAAACATTACAATGTTTACAATATGTAATAAAGAAAAAACAAAAGAATGTTTTACATATGAATGATACTTTTTCTTGGTTTATCACGTTTGCAATCAACAACTAACTTTAAAGTGACTATGAAAACATCAAATATGGTATAAAACAAAGGATGTAAAACTAGGAAAACAATGGTTTTACTAATTTTGTATCCAAGTTCTAAGAAGAAATGTACTGAATCACTAGTATATACGAGAATATGTAACATGCAATTTTAAGTTTGTATTAAGGGACATATAATACGTGATAGTGATTCCAAGAATTTTAAAGAATCAATCACTGAAAAAAATGAATAACCACAAAAACAGAAATGTACGGTTATTTCTGAACTTGTTTAAATGAAATCGGTTCTAAAGGATAAGATCGTCACCCAGTTACAAAGAGACTATATTCATAACAAATAATGTTATTAGAAACAACAAAGCGAATTAAGTAATAAAATCTGTGTGAAAAACACTACTTTTTTAAAATTTCACACATCAATGTTTAATGAAAATCAAAAATATCCTAATCAGGAATTTTCAATAATCGTGTCATTCACTTCTAAATACCTAATATATAAACTGTATTATAACTAATATCAGAAGGGGTTTTCTGAAATTACAGTAATTTTTAATGGTTGAGATCATGAGTCAATTGAAGCTAGACCACTATGGAAAACCCGGAAGCATTGGACGGCCGTTTTGACCTATTGTTGGACTCCTCAGCAGTGCTCATCCACGATCCCGCCTCGCGACATTCAAACCCAAGACCTTGGATGTCGGCTCAGTAATTTAGAGGTTGAGCGTTCGCACGCGAGAACAATAGACCCCGGCTTTGGATCTCGCGAGGCGGAATCATGGATGCGCCCTACTGAGGAATTCCACAATTTATTTATTTATTTGAACACATAAATATTGGTACAAGAGGGCACCAAATATATATGCGCCACACAAAACAAAGAGAATGAAAATACAAAAAGAGAAGGTAAGGAGCGTAAAAGAAAAAAGAAGAACAATAGCGACCAGATTAATGTAAGGTAGTGTAATAATAATAATAATAATAATAATAATAATAAGGGGGGGAACCGAAAGGTATAACCAGAAGAAATCTTTCAGTTAAGGAAGATACAACCACTTTTTATGAGGAAAATAAAAAAGGTTACGGCAGGATCGCCACTAAATTCTATTCTGAGCCATATCTGATGATGTCTCTAACCACTGTGTCGCACCATCTCTCGGACCCCAGCCAGGGAGTCGTGAAGAATAGCATACAATTTTCAATCAGGCAGTGACTCGAGAACGTTTAGATAGAACCGAATTTCCGTCATAGGCGAGCTGCTGTATAAGTCGAAAAGTAAGGATAGACAGAGTGGGAATAAAAGAGAGTAAATAAATGACGTAGTAAATAACAATATTAATAATAATAATAGCAACAGTAATAATAATAATAATAATGTGAATCGTTTGATTGTTAATCACAGCAAGAATAGTATTTTCCACAAATGTACATAGTTCATCATAATTGTGGATGGGCTGTGATACTGCCTGGGTGCCCGGATCGAAGCAGGTGGTTTTCTTAGGGGGCCACACCCCGAGCCTTCGACCTGAAGGTCTGATCCATAAGGCAGTGGAGCATCGTAAGGAGATGCAGTCCCATGGTGCCCGGCGACCAACAATTGGTTCATACGCCGTTTGTTCCTTCAGGATACTGGAGCCCATGTGCACCATTGGTCTGGAATCCGGCTAAAGCGCCGGACATTCGCTTTTCGTCCTCTCATTTTCGTAAACAACATCCCAGCCACGAGAATGCAGTGAGTAGGACTTCCCTGGCAGAGGCTATGTACGCGTGAGAGCATTTCGAGAGGGAGGGGGGCCCACCTCACTCTCAGCCATATTAGGGCATTTGGGGGCAGTTCCACAATTGGACGAAACGGCTGTTCAGTGCTTCCACGTTTTCCATAGTGGTCTAGCTTCAATTGGCTCATGATCTCAACTATTGAAATGTATGATAATTGTTGAAATTTTTTCTCAGTTCGAATTTTTAAAAAATTCTTCTGGTCAACCTGATTTGTTTAGTGGAAAATTGCGAAACTGAACAAATAATTTCACGAATAATAGTCGTGAAATTTTGTTGGTTTGCAAATTTCAAATTCTTTATATAGTTTCAGGTAATTTTGAAATCTACAACTAAAAATAATATTAGTCTGTTTCATCCTTTTCTTTCTGAGAATATCATCATACTTTTGTTTATATTTTTGTAATTAATTATTTATAGGATGACAGCTTTGATAGTTTATCGTATTCCACTTCAAAGACTTACATTGACCTACTAATATAATTTTATTTGTTTTATTGACCTTATTGTCACATTGATAGAGATTTGTAATTTAACTCGTTGATGTGGTGAAACTATGTGACCCAAAAATAAATTTAATAACGCAAAACTTTGAAGACTAGTTGGCATAATCATCCAGAATCCAAAAATGAGTAATATTGAGAAGAGAGTACAAATGATGAAAGCAATGACGAGAAATTAGACAAGTTAATGAAGTAAAATTGAATACAAAATAACCATGTCTAAATTCTTTAATGAAAGGTAAGACAGTAAACAAATTATTTGAGATACTTTTCAACTACTCATTTTTAATGTAAGGAAATAACACATTAAAATATACATACCTCTTTGGACAAAGATAATCAAAACTTGGTGAACCGATAGAACTTGTTTAATATTTCCACGATTTCTTTCACCATGTTCAGTGTATCTCTCCTCATAATACTATGTGAATGAATGACATATCTGTTAGAAGTTTTAGACACCTGAGTTTATTAGCACTTCAATATTTATTAAATTTATAATTTCCTGATTTCTAACATATTGGTTTCAGCAAACTGCCCTAACGATAATAATACACTAATTTGAAAAAGATCTTTGTTTCTAACTGACATCAACTGGATAACCATCAGAATATATCCAGAACAAGACAACTGCTTTGTTGTAGATTAAAATTTCTCAATAAACTATATTTGCGATTATACGGTGGAATGAATCTAGGTTATCAAGTATCACAGTGAGCACAGCGATTTTTAATCACTAAGATCAAATCCACTCGTCTAAATTACCAGACTCACTCATTGTGTTATGTTTTTTAAACTGCGTCAGATCATGATGGGAAGTTTAAGATTATACGGAATCACCACAGGAGCATTCAACCTGATAATAATGGTACACTTTACTAGAAGTTAACTAAGTACTGTAGATGATCACAGTGAAGTTAACCAAATATGGGGTGAGATAGTCCACCTCCGCCTAACAACTCTGTATTACAAATTAATTGATAAGATTAATTCGGTAACTATCATAAAATAAAATGTGACAATTCAAAATGTTTGACTTAATAGCAGAATGATTAAATTAGACACTCTTCATTATGCATTAACAACATGTATAGAAATCACCATTCTGTGGACCAGACTACAATGTAGTTAAATTTGCACAAAAACATCAACTTTTTAAAGATTCAAGGATGACAGAATTAGTGCTGAACCGCACAATAAACTGAATCTGTACAAATCACAATTTCCCTCAAAATTTCGACCGTTTTATAAGAGAAATGTAAAATTCCGAAAGAATGTTAAGAATTTTTAGAAGATTTTCAGGAGCAATTTGTTAGTTATTAAAATCTTTATCTTTCAGTTCTCTAGTGAAACCTAACTGCTTGTGTTTCGCCAACATTTTTTTAGCTATACAGTGATATCTATGAATTACAGAAACCGCTAAATTAATAGCGTTACTTTAGCTTAATAGTGAGATTTTGTGTATGAAATGTGATTTTGTTTTAAAGTAGATACCAGAGTAAATAGTTGACGCCTATCTAGACCTATCTAGACGAATGATAATACAGCAGTTTTTTGGATAAATGGATTCAAGATATTTTGAGAACTTATTTCCTATTAGGCGATTTGTGAAGTTTAGTTTGACCTAGAAATAGTATCCACTTCAAAATGATATCACCTGGAAAACTTATGAAATCTGGATACTATTTAGTTGTTTCAATTTAGTGGTTTGAACTTAATATCATCATGAGCCCTGACGATTGTGAGTGCAAGTGTACTTAGACTCATGGAAGAGACAAACGACAGTGAGTATTCACAATTGATTGATCACTGGGTGATGATCAATATTGTGTGTCAGGTCCTTCTTAGTGCAGATCGAACGCTATCGAGTAAGTTGCAATGTAGCCACTAGTCTGGGTGACTCGACATTGCGTCCAGTATGTTGAGATAAAATGGTGGTTGGAGTTAATCAACAGGAAACCCTGGACCCGGGTTTCGTGCTACTTCGCACACGTCAGCAAGGTGTACCTGTAATTTCGGTGCTCTCTGACGGATTCAATCCCGTGTCACCCAGCTTCATAGTCAGAGACGTTAGCACTGAGTTATCCGGGCCGCGACTGAACTCCTGTAGGACTGAGATGTATTCACAATTGATTGATCGATTGACCAATAGCATTCGATCTGCACTAAGAAGGACTTGACACACATGACATTGATCACCACCCAGTGAGTATTGCAGAGTTCCTAGAATCCTGGGGTTTAAAATAAAACTAAAACTGTTCGTTACATATATCATTCAACATTTATAGTCTTCAGTGAAAAAAATAACACAACTAGATAAATTAATCAATAAATGAAATTTGTTCTCATTAATGAACATGAACTATTCAAAAACAGATAGATATTCAATACTTTCTAGATTTCTATAGTATTGAAAGTGATATCAATCCATGAAAAAGAAAGATTAATAACGAAAAAAAAACATTGTATCATTTATTTTAATAAAATGATATTTAAACAACTAAAACAAAGTTAATCCCATTTGTAAAAAATTTCAAGCAGTATGTATATATGATTTACAAAATACTCGGTTACTGATCCTTGATTAAAAATATAAAACTATGAAATAATTGATAGGAGGTAAATTTAAAAGAAAGAAAACAAACGTACAACCATCTTTATTGATTATCTATAGTTCTCAGAAATAATCAATATCATTTCCATGGGACAGATTCATTTTGTACTATGTATATAAGATAAATCAATTAGAAAAATTAATCATTAAAAAAAAGGTTGAAATAAACAAAAATTTATTTTTCATTCAATATATTAATATTATTTCTATAACACGCTTATCATTCGATAGATATCCCAAATACATTTAAAAGAAAGAGATATTTCAATTGTTCAATAGTTCATTTGTTTAAATGTTTGTTATTTTATATTTACTTTTAAAGTTAAAATCTTATTCACCGTATTTAAAAATACAATTTTTTTCCAAAAACAAAATAAATTGAATAAAATTTGAAAATTAATTCATTTTAAAAGTATATTTTTTATTATTATTTCACTGATAATTCAGATGATGAATTAAATGAACTTGAAGATGTTGATGATGTTGACGATGATGATGGACGATTATTGGAAGATTGTTGTTGTTTAACAATGATTGGTTTATTGAATTGTTTTGAATATTTCACTTGATGATTCAATGTAGAAGAATGTGAATCATGTGATTCATGTTTGAATTCAGAATTATAAGAATTTTCAAGTTTTATTTTTTCTTTCACATCTTTGTTTGATCGCTTCAAATTATTTTTATCATTATTATTATTATTATTATTACTCGTTTGGTATTTATTGTATGATGAATTATTATTTACAGATTTAGATGTGAATTCATTTGGTTTTAAAGTATTAATTTGTTTTTTATTTTTAATAAGGTTTTGATTTATATGAGAATTTTTTCGATAAGAAATAAATTCAGATTTATAATAAGGATACAATGAGTTCGGTGTAATAAAATACTTTTTATAATCTCGTAATTGTTCTTCTTTAGTCATACCAGTTGTTGGTCGAATTTTTTGTAAGCGCTTAGCTAGTTCCTAAATATTATTGAAAAGAAAAAATAAATAATAGTTAAAAGTAGAGGAAGCTGTTTAAACAAATGTATATTTAAATATTTCGTTCCACTGGTCATGGCTTCTGACTAGAACTCCGAGAATTCCCTCACGAAGCTAGTCACAAGTTAGAATGTCGTAATTATCAGTATGTGGTTGTGGAGATTATTAAGCTTTTGATTGAGATCATGAACTGATTGATGTTTGACCAGCATTGAAAATCTGGAAGCATTGGACGGCCATTTCGTCCTATTGTGGGACTCGTCAGCAGTGTGCATTCACGATCCTGCTCGCGGGATTTGAACCCAGGGACTTCGGTCTTGCGTGCGAACGCGAGTCATGAAAAACATGTTCTTTGTGTTTTCTCAAATTCCTACTACTATAGTACCATTCCTTTTAACGTGCTTTTAATGAAATTTATTTTTCCGTATCCTCAATATATTTCAATATATTTCAAATCCATTTGTTTACAGATAAAGAAATAATAATAATAATAATACAACTCTCTTTTAAATGAGTAAACTTTATAACCAAATTAGTAGATTTACCGTAACAAGTTTAATTGCACAAATCCACGATTATAATACCTTCTTGTACTTAAATCCTACACATTTTTTACGTCATGTATTTTTTAAATATATCTTTTTGTGAATTGATTATTAATCTGTCAAAATCAAAATGGGAATAAAGTTTCAAGGTTTGACGACATTTGCATGACATTTGAGGGACCACAAAGTGACCCTGAGAAAATTCACCTGCTTATTTCGATCTAAAAAAGGATATAAATGTGCGTAAGGAATCACAATCGGGATTGAGAGTCGAAAGCTAAGGTTTTAACCATGAACTCACATCAAATATAAGGCCTAAAAAGCTATTTAGCCATATGCATGAGTAAATCTAACATCAAAACCCAAGATTAGCCATCTTAAATATGGTTGATTCACTTTTAAATTATGGTCTCGTCATTTACAAACTTCACACTAATAGAAAAGAAAAGAGAGCAAAAATTAGGAAAACACTGAAAATAATATTGAAGACCTAATTACATATAGAGCGAGTAGGTATAAAGTAGAATTTCGATTCATTATTTCGTGTGTCCGTATCTTAATAGGTTTACAAACATCCTGAGAAGACTTAATAAGCTTCAAATTGAAATAATAAACCATATTTAGTTCATGACGAACTTACATAGTTTTCCAGCTGTATTTTTTCATTTTGACGCAAACGATTCAGTGTTGAATGGTACAATCTACGCACAGCTATTTCGTCATTCAAACATTTTGTTGTTGAATATCCTAAACTTGACAATGGTCGCTGATTTCGATATTTTAAATAATCCTCGTACATGTTATAAAATGCTGTTGTTCGATCACTTGGAAGTGGTCTTGAATTCGGATCTTTCCATGGTGGACGAATATGTAAACGATGTATTTTTTTGTCAAAACTTTTCAAAGCATCTGCAATTTGTGCAACATTAATACATTCATTGTTCATATTAAAAATATCAGAATTTGAAGCAATACGAAATGAGGGTCTGGTTTGCTTTTTCCGGTCATTATTTTTATTTGGTGATTGTCGTATTGGAGAATTTCTAGATGTTACATTTCTGTTTTTATATCTAGGAATATTAGAAATGTCGCCAGATGAAATTGATTGTTCTTCTTCGTCATCATCATTCACTGAGTCACTGTCAATATCCTTCACTACAGCTTTATTTCTATTACTTTTATCAGAATTGTTAACTGATTTGTGAAATGTTGGACTTTTAACCCAATTATTTTCATCTTCTATCCCCTTCTTGTTCTTTTCTTCCTCTTCAGTGCTATGATATGTTTCATCGCTTAATTCAAGATCTTCATTCCGTTTATACAGATCACCTTCCTGTTTTTCTTCTACTACAAAAGTTTTATTGTTTGCTTTAACTAAATTTGAGTTATTGTTGTCATTATTTTTCAATGATCCCGGTATAGACTCTCTTTGTTCATACAAAAAAAAACGATACAAATTAAAATTACGAGACGGATGGTAGAAAGCGTAAGAATTGTTAGCTGTCAAAATATTAATTAAACAAAAGAAGCTTTTCTGAAGTTTTCGAAGAAAACTGTCTATTTCAAAATGGATGATATCACTTAGTTTTTAATGAATTAATTACCATCATCTAAATAAACTGATAAACAAAAGTTAGTTCAGCAAAGAAACCTCTTTTCGTTTAACCACCCATTCGTCTTTTCATCTTTAATGGACATTTTTCGTTTCAGCCAACTGCTAAACTCAAAATCCTTTTAAAAGAATTCTAAATTTTTAAAATGAAATCACCGAGTTGTTCAGGTATCTATAACATATTATTATTGAATTTCCTTTACTGAATTTCTTCATAACCCTCTACAATATATATATATATATATATATATATATCGTGATTTCTGAAGTACCTGGATATATATTTTAAATTAAAATTATATACCAACATTATCATCCCGGATATTGCCTCAAATAACTATAAGAGTGGTAGCACTAAGGCCTCAGAAATGTATGTAATTTTATTAGTTAGTTTTCGCTTCAATAAACGTATTGAATCATGTACATGTCTTTTGTTAAACTTAACATGGGTTGTGAAGAGGCTAAAAAACTGTCTATAAAATGATTAATAGAATAAAATATCCTGATGCCTAGAATAAGATTATTTAAATATACAAAAAACTGACTATGGTAGAAAGCTCTCAGAATAAAACATAACCAATCTCATTTTATGAAAAATTAAAGAAAAGAGACCCTCATACATACTAAATCATAAAGTTTAACACCCATATGAAATATAATTACCTTATTTTGATTATTTGTTAAAATTTTATCAAACGTTATATATATATATCACATTTTTAATACGTGTAAAGTTGACACTCTAAAGTTTTTATTAACGGATTTTCATTTGTTGTTAGAATTTCCTCTATTACTTATATACAACAGAGAATTAGTTAATCTGATGGTATTATTCAAAAGAAGAATCCATAATACCCGAAGAGAATTGAGATTTAATTCCTCATCATTTTAGATATTCTCAATAGTTTCCACCTACGATCGTAACATCAAGTCAATAACAGAATTTCTAAACCTCTTAAAGAAAACAGTATCATTTAGATAATTAGTCGGAATTTAATGATCCAATGTCTGTAATGGTGTTTCATCTCCCATTTCAGTAGTGGATATCCAACCTAGAATTAGTTAAAAATAAATGGTGGTGTATTACTTTTTAAATTAAATAACTTTACAGCATGCAAGTACGACTGATCTTTCTTCATAGAGATAATATAATAAGTACTCCGACTTATTCCTATATCTTTAATCTCCATAAAAACCAGGCAGTTAATCTGTTAAACTGTGGAATTTTGTGATCAATAATTGAGGATGCACAAATATTGTTAAATAAATTAATAGAGTTGAAATTGATGCCGCCTAATGACAACTGCTCATGAGACCGAATTATTAACGCAAGTCACCGAATCTATAGATATTGGAAAACAACACAACTGTTGAACAAAACAAGTTATTTTGTTAGTAAATTTACGTGCTTGTATACAGAATATCAGACAAAACCAAACATGATTAAAAGTGTGTTTAAACGTAGGTGATTTAAAAGTAAGTGTTTTTCAGATCAACTAAGTCTGAACAACACTAAGATCTGACCATCATGCTTATTTCTTGATTAACTGTGGCATTTGTACGAGCTAATGACTCCTTTTTACTTGATTGCCCGCTTATTACGAATTCCAAATGGAATACTTTCATTTGTGCTCATCTATTTCTACTTACATCAAACTGCACTATTTTGGGAATTCCTTGTCAGTACAATAATTCGAAGAATTCTAATCACTATATCAACACTCAAAACAAAACGATATGGGATCTGTCTATTGCAATATTGATCAAGAGGTGATAATTTCGATTTATTTCACACCTTCCACAGTTTTCACGTTTTATGTCTCATCTATGGATTCCACACTCATCACTGACTCAAAGTTCAAGGCCATTCTCTGTCGGTGCGTGATTACCGAGAGTGAATAAATAATAAAGTTCATTTGCTGCTCCATTGTAATAATGAAATTTTACTACATAACTTGGTCTAGAACCACACGAACATCCTATTAGTTTTAGTTTTATAGCTAAGTAAATCAATGGTTTTCATGAGTTTGTTTTAGGGGAAATACTTAGTTGAATATGCTGAGACCACACTTATGATTCTGTATTTGAAGTTGTATTTTTTTGAAGATTCTAAGTGTAATAATATGACTAATTTCAGATTATTAAAATTAAGACTCTCCATTAATTTTATTTTATTATTGCTTGTAACCACTCTATCATTGAGCTTTTCAAATATAATGCATTCTTTTTAACTGCATTTGATACTAAGTTGATAACGTGTGACTGATATTCAGATATTAATTCATTTGCAAGTATATCTATATTTCCCATTTATGGTTCCTTAATCAGTAAATATAAGGATTTCTACCAATTGAATTAAAATATCATTTTGCCAGTCGATTCTTATCACAGACATAAGTGCTATAAATTATGGTCTGTGACAACAAACAGGTCTTATGTTATTAAAATGAATGACTTTAATGTCGTGCTCCCGTATAAACAATGAAGCCTTGAAAAGTTTGAAGTTGTGAAGCTTGTAAAGGTCATAGTTTCAAATGGACATGTGCAACTAATTATAGGAGTTCGTGATCGACTAAATTGCATAAGCAAACAATTTGTATACTTATAGGAATAGTTACACAAATTCCCGTTACCATCATACCATAGTTAACACTTTAATTTCACTAAAATTTGCAGGAATTCGAAAATTGTATCTTAATAAAAAGAATTCATATGACGAAGTTTCTTTTCATTTTCGTTTGAAACTTCTCACCAGACATTCTTGAAAATAAGTATATCAGCTAAACTCTAACTAATTACTCAGTTAAAGTACTTATAGAAAAGTATTTTTACGATGAAATTCAACATGACAGTTTACTCGGGTTACTATTTTGCTACCGTGTAAATAATTCCATATGTCGCTGTACTTAACATATGTTAAAATAGATTTGACTGATTTTGTATTACTTACTAGAGGTTATTGAGACAACGAATAATAGGAAGTAAAGACAGATAGCATGTCTCACGATACATTATTTTGTCAATTTTGTAAATACTTTGTGTACTAATATTTAGTGTCGATTAAAACTATTTTTCCTTATGCGTATTGCAGTACACTACAAAAAGTTAATTGATTTTTTTTCGGATTTTATATTACTGAGATTGTGATAGACACAACCAGTGATCTAACTGCTGATTCAAAGACTATTAAAATTACATTCAGTCATACATGCTTTAATTACGTGGTTATCAGGCAAATGTAAACAAACTAGACTGAGCAGTAGCTGGTATAAATTAATAAACAGCCAGTTGAATATATAAAATTCACAGCATTAATAGATTAAGCAGCTCTAACTAAAGTATATATCAAGGTCACTGGATTATGTGTTTGCTTGTTCTTAACATCAAGCATCTCAATTACTACCTGGTTAAAATTCAACCAAAGCCCTTAAAAAATTTGAAGGAAGCAAGCAAAGTACGATTCGCAGAATAAAATGAATTTATTCTATTTTACGGATTATCATCAGCTGCACACAACCAAAAATTACAAGCACATGGGAATAACAGAGAGTAGGACCTTTACAATGTTTTCTGAACACATTTCTAGGAACATACGGCTGAAAGAGAGCGAAATATTTACAAGTGTAAGCGCAAGACATTATTTGGGTAGTCGACGTGAAGTAGATGTGAGCAGTGTATTCAAAATGGTTAACAGACAAAAAGCATTAATTTTACTCCGTTAGGCAGAAGCATTCGCTATCAAACGTTTCAGACCTGACCTATATATACAGAAGGATAGTGTGATTAGACTTTTCTTCCCTTAGTAGTCATGGGTTCACCTAATAAACTTTTTTTATCTTAACTTTAATCTTTTTCAACCCTATCCCCAAACTTTTGTAATTATTTCTATTTGATCATCTGATATTTATCTCTCACATAGTTTGATTGTCCATATATTTGTTTATTTCATCATGGGATTACTGAATCACTTACTGATTTTCTTAACTTTACGTGACCTCTAACTTATTACTCCCCGACTTATAAATACACATTGATCTTAAGTATGTCAATTCATATACTTTGTATCCCTGTTCTTTTTATTATTATGATTTTGGGTCACGTTTCGAACATTTATCTAAACTACACAAACCAAAGTATGCTAAATATTCGTTAATAATTATATTGATATTATTAATTGTAATTTTGGGTTGCATGCGGCTGGTAAGAAACCATGAAATGGGATGAATTGATTTTATTCTGCAAACCGCGTTATTCTTGCTCTGTTTAAGTATTTTTTGTTGCATAGCACAGTTTTTATTCAAAAATAAAATACACGTAGTGACAGAAAATGTAGTAATTTTTATAGCCCTGGTAAAATAATTTGTCCTCTCTTATATTTGTGATATTTCATGTTTAGTTATATAGATGTTTAGCATAGTTCATTTGTACATAACAACTGCATTATACATATCACTTGTCATGTTCATCATACGAATTTTGATATCGCAATCGCGTGTTGAATACACCGTATTTTTCTTGCCTCAGTCTTCTGTTCAGTTAGGACTAGAGCCTGGCCGTACATTGACTACAGTGTCTCGGACATTTATTTCGCACATAAACTTTGAGAAATTCTTGGCTGAACGTGAATTAGTACGGTCTTGAAATATAAATCTGAAAATCCAACGTCATCTAGGCGCTTTTAAAAGCATAGGCAAGAGGATGAACTTATTTGTAATGTGCTTAAAGAAATATTCTACCAGATGACATTTGTTTTCAAATTCAGCATTATGTGATCATTTGCTGTTAGAATTTCATTTATATGTTAACCATTCCCGTTTTTACGTAATTACTGATATTAGTGTACAAACTTTTGCTTAGATCTGGCCCATTACATACTCGTACACAAATTTGTAAAATCGTCTCAGAAATAAGGAGAAAGAAGTACAAATGGTGTTGACATCATAATTTAGGAATGTTTGGTAAGATAAGTAAAACTAATAGACGAATTTGGCTGCTATGGACGTTCATAAAGGACGTACTCGCAATACCTCTTATTGTGCCGACATTGCGAAAATGATCTACGTTTAACAGACCAATACCCAAGTAAAGTATGTCAAGTATGGAAAATAATGAATTATTAATAATAAACTCATTCAAATAGTGAAATATACTGACATCTACCGCTTGAAGCGCTATGTCCCCACTAAAATGAAAATCCAAGGCGAACAAAGAGCTCAAGAGGAACGAAGGAGTCTCGATGAAAAACTTAGACGATAAAAATGAGGAAACACTCCAAGATGATTACTTTGTAATCTGCTGGAGAGGAAAATTGAGTGGTATTATCCGTTAGACAAAAAGGCTATGAGATGCGCCGAAATTCAAACAAAATTTTTTCAAATATATGCATATGTTTTAAATCAGTATTTCTGATGAAATTCCATCATGATTAGAATAATATTACCGATTGGTGATGTTATTCCATTAATGTAAAGACATTTTAGAAAATAATAGAAATTTGGGGCATATGACAACGAACCTCAATGTCAGTGAAAAGGATTTTGTAGAAAAGTGGAATTACCCTAGTCATCATGTTGCATGATACTCACATACATATATATCACATGGTAATAATTAAATTATCTTTTTAATACTACATTTCGTTCGTATAGCTAAAACATTCATCATTCCGATCACCTACCGGTGTTCTTCGAAAAATTCAAAGTCCACAGAATCTTCTTGATCACCTGGATTGTCACCAAAATGATCGGACGGTCTTATAGTTGACATGATGCTTGGATGAGGCGGAAGACTGTAAACACTGTTCGTAGCGATGATTTAGAAAAGTAAAACAATACAGATATTTTTAATTTCCAAATAAGTAGATAAAAGACATTGTTATTCAGTATTCTCTGAACGAATCTTTTAAGTGAACATACACCACGTGTTCCATCACTAAAGTTTCCTGTAACTTTTCAGCGGAATGATTTTCATTAAACATTTGATCATTTTACTGTTCAGCTAAAGTCAAAATATGCCCAGAAAATGAAAAATTTCAGCCTTTTATTTCTATGAACTCACATAAGCAATTATATTTTGGCCTGCTACAAAACTATATAATCCACCCAACGAAATGTGGTACCGATCCCAGGTCACAAGTGGTCATGCCATACTACGCATTCCATGCAACTGTCAGCTAGCTTATACCAAACGCTTCTCGACATATCGCTAGCCTTTCAAACATATCTTCGAACTTTTTTGTTTCCGACTTTTGATTTGATTGGATTGATATACATCGATTATAAAGATGTCACGTGTAAAGGCGATATTAAACTTGAAATACACGTGACATTTTTAAATCGTTTGGAAATCCTGGAGAATATGAAATCCACACGAGAATGCCGTGGCCATCTAACAGCGTACCTTGAGTTAGTTGGGTGTTCTACAGAAAAAGGTATCAACGTCTGTAAGAAGATGTGTCTTTCCAATGCAACTTCGAAGACGGACGGAAATTTCCTCTCATCATTATTCACAATTTATCACGCGCTCATTTTGATCGGGAAGTTTAGTCACAATTTGACTTGCATTTTTCAAACTTTTGCTGTTTCCTCACGCAAAAAAAGCACCAGTTCTGATCTGAAGAATCTGTCCTGAGTTTTACGTTCAGTAGATTACTTTTATTTTTCACATCTTAATAGATAACTGTGGTTTTGCCCCAGCTTACTATTCGGTTTTTTCAGTTTCTCACGCCAAGGTTGGTTTCAGTTTATCCTAACCTTTCGTACCACTCGATTTTATCCATTTTTGTCCGTTTTTAGTGTACTGAATTTTTTCGTTTTACGGTCGTGGACTTGTGCTACGACCTATATGACAATTTACGTCAATAAAGTCATGAAAAATTCATGCAAGAGACGCGATTGCCTTTTTTCTGTTACGTCTGGCTTGAAGTGTGACAGTTGCAAAGGTTAGTTCCACGAATCGTGCACAGATTTTACAGAAACCGCTTACATCAGACTCAGTAAGTCGGATCGTAGGTGTATATGCATCACATGCAAAGCAAATGCTGAAGTTTTGCTGGGCAATATTATCATTATCCTGACAGTTCTACGGAATAAATTGTGAGCAAACCTGAAAATAGGCAGTCTAAAAACGGGTGTACATACACACACGCACAGTGAAAGCAAGAAGAGGGATCTCGACAGCGCTCTTTCGATGGGGCATGCACTAACGCTTGTGAAGACATGATGAAACTCTGCACCATCATAACACCAACGGCAATAGGCTCCCTCAGCAGGTTTGGATCTCCTTGCACAGGATCCCTGAATGCAACGTTGGTTCCCAAAAAACTCTATAGGTGATTGAACCCAAAGTTAAAAAGAACTAGGCGCCACCGTCTAAAAAGCTGAACATTCCAAGTACTGTAGTGAACTCAGCTGGCGATTTAACCGCACAGTCTACTCCCAAGAATGTCCAATCGGTCAGCAAAGAGCATAGGATTCGGAAACGCTCCTCGACTTCCAAACAACAAGGTTCTCAACCTGACCATACTTGAAAACCTGGGAAAACAATAGCAGTTAGTGCTGATTCTCTCTTTATCATGGGCCATAAAGACAGCCCTAAATTCCTCCTCAGTTTGCAGTACAAACATGATAGGATGCTCTGCGGAGAAGTTCGAACTTATCAGAATAGAGTGTTTGACGGTCAAACGGCTCACTCGAGGCAAGAACTCTAAGTATCAAAATCATCCCAAACTACTTCGTGAAACACTCATTAGCGCTACCGACACAGAGATATCCTGACCACACAAACTCTGATATTAGGGAATGGAAATTCATCAAATAATCCTTAGAGCTCAAAAACGTACTGGCTCAACAAGTGATGAGACCTGCCATGAAGGACGGAGATTCTATATCCCGACTAATGAAGATAGCTTTCCTATTCTGTCACATGGCGACTGCAATGCTGGAAGCATTTCATGTCAACGGACGCTGGTTGCCAATTGGAGTTCATATGTATCCGAATGGCTGCCATTAAACGCAATTCAGTTTCGTAAATGTGGCCTCCAGCTTAACAACCAATCAGAATGAGCCGGGAATTATTAAATTCGCCATCCTTGTGAGCAATGGCGGTCGGCTTTCTTCGTTCTGTGCTTTTATCAGCCATTTCTTTTGCATAGCTACAGAACTAATTGTTTAAGTGTGCTAAAATGTAGAAGTTCGTGTAATACTCTGAATGTTGGAGCAAAATTTGTCCTCATTTTTCTTTTTCTGGGTTTTGACTTGTTTTCTAGATATCCAAAGCCAAAGCTCGTTTTTTTAGCTAGGATAATTGTTGTTGCCGCCTGTGACTAACTGTCCGCATGTTCGTTCCTAATTGTCCTTTATGATGTGATCGGCAAAATGAAAGGAAACAATCTCCGGTTTTCAATTTTCTTCAGTACTATGGACAATACTATCCCACCAACGAATCAAACTAATATAGAGTGCCAGCAGTAGGGGATATCAGTATTGTTTTCGAAGGGACTCAGACTTCCGATAACCATAGATGAAGTCACAGATGCTACCAATCTATTGCAGAAGGTTTGTTATGAAAAATTTGCCATATAGCAGTAATAGAGGGGTTGTACTCATTATGTCGTGCATTAAAGCAAGCTTAACATTGAAAAGACGGAAATCTATGAGTGTGTAGTATATGTTTGCTGTTTTGGCCATAAAAGGAAGCAGAAGGGTCATAATCAGAGAGTAAAAAGGTAATTAACTGTTATTAAGCTCACTATTCTATACATCATATTTCACCACTCGCAAATTTGTGTTTTTTTACGGTATGATGTCAACCGGTACCTAATATGTTCACCCTTACGATGAAAAGTACCTGCAAGTTTTCACCTTCATATCCGAATTATTTTTGGACAACTGTCTTCCAGTTTGAGTGCTTCGTACGCCCTAGGAGACTAGATTCCTACATTATTCGTAGTCCCAGTATAACTTTCTCACGCACTAAGTTCAAAGTAAACAATAGTCTTCCTAAATCAGCCTGTTAAGCTGATATCTGTATTTTCTATTTCGGTTAACCGATGAAGACATGTACCACGTGCATCTGCTGTATACTGCCATTTTACTCCGATTCTAACTGTTGTATCTTACTTCAGAAAAATAAAATTTATATATACAGCGAATACAAACTTATTTGTTTTGATGAAGGTAGGTTGGTTCATGGGATTTTTAGCAGGACTGTAGTCATATTCTCACTAAAGAGCTAAGCGAGTGCGTAGACGAATGTAAGGCACCATACAGGGTGCTTTTGAGTTACTAGTGTTCCATTAATGAGGGTAGGGGCATTGCTTGCTTACCATATGGCATTTGAATAAGGAGCTATAAGATTAGACGCAGGTACGGTTAGGATGTGTAACGCGTGTCCATCCATCAGCTGCCGTGACAACTCATGGTGGTTAGAATAAGTTATGAGAGGACCCGAGTCTGTAGGTTTCCCAAGAAAATGACGAAGATATGTACTAAATCACTTAAATTTACTACATATGAACTAGATGCTGAGAGGCTCGTATATCACACGTTTCTTGCAACGATTAAGCAGATAAGACAAAATAGCATTAGATTCAAAGATTTCAGGAACGTTCATTAAAAATCGAATATCAAACAAAGGTTTAAACCAAGTTCCCGTTTAAAAGTTGTATTGATAATGTTGAGCTGCAGCTTTTGTTGTATTTTTCCAAACGAAAGAGTAAAAGAAGTAAAAAAATACTGGAAGTGGTTGTGAGACTAAACTGGACGTCCAGCATCCTTTTTATAATCTGCTGTTAGTTGGGTCTCCCGTAAACAGTTCCATAGGGCCATAATTCTAAGGGCGAAACAGTTTTTAGTATCTGTGAATGCTCACTCCTGTTGCATTCTAAATGAGAAAATAGTGATGAACTTAGTCATAAATGTGGAATACATAAATAACCAAATTACATGTTTTTAGCAAAGGATTTATGCAGTTGTGATTTACCTTGAGTTCATGAATATTAGATCAGGTCAGCTACTATTATTTGTGCAAAGCATAACATGGACTTTATACCGTATCGCAATGCTTTTATTATTTTGCTCTCATTTGAGTATTCCCATGCATCTGCGTCTAGTTTAACAGGAAGAGATACAAACAGAGTTAGTGGCTGATAAACTAAAAGTCCCAGTTGTCAAAAAGATTCTTAACATTTGTCCACAGCCAGCTGCATTTAATTGAGACACAGAACACTCATCTTCTAAGACTGTATACTGCTCTTCTGCAGGCAAATAAAAGCTCAGACATTTAGCTATCCTGTTACCGATATATATTGCTTTCAGACTGAAGACAACAGGCAGTAACATCATGCACTGATGGTCTATCTGGAAACAATAAACTATGTGATTAAACTAACTATGACTTGAGATATCATTCCAGAGTGCAATCAACGTACAGTGTAACGCGGTCAGACGTGGCGAATAAAAATTAAAAACAGAGCAAAAATAACCTAATCTAGTTGTTTAATTAAAAACACATTGTGAAATGACAAAATCTGTGGTTACTTGAACGCACAGATGATCGTTATTACACTGGGCGATATATTACGTTTACATGGTTGCGTTGGATAAATTCACCCTATCCAAATAGACCACATGACGACGTGATCATGCACAAAGGCCAGTTGGAGCTGACCATTCCACTTGTGGACTGTATTGATCATAAAAACACATGGAAAGGACAGAAACTACTAACTTGGAAAACCTTCTATAGGTAGGCTACCTGTCCATTCGCATAAGGCTTATTCAGACAAACAAGAAGGAGAAGCCCACGCGTTTCAAATCGAAAGCATAAACTGCTTATACATGAATGCCGCGAGTTTGCCGAATAAAACCGATGGGTTCCGTGAACTCAGCAATTCTAATAATGCTTAACTGATATGAATATCTGAAACTTGGATATCTTCTCAGTTCTCAGGCCAGGAGCTAGTAGTACTTGGGATGCCCTTGTTTCGCGACGACAAAAAATCAGGAGGTGGGGGTGGAGTAGCTGTTTACATACGATCTTGTTTGGAGATACATCAAGTTCATGACCTCGAGTTTAACAATCTTGAGGAATCCGTATGGTGCTCTGTAAGATTGTCTATAACTTCGAGGTGTCTAGTCGGAGTCATATATAAGAATCCCATTGCCGACATCGAATATGACAGTCGTATGCTGGAAGGACTATTCTGCTCTACTCGTCTCGGTTTCACTCATATCCTGATTCTGGGAGACTTCAATCTCCCTAGAGTCAACTTCGCGGAACATACGTGTAATGGAGATGAAAACTAAACTGAAGTTCGGTTCTTCAACCTCATCGATGACTTGTGCTTATACGAAAGTGTGAGGTCGGCAACTCGCTGAAGAAACAGTCAGACACCATCGCGCTTAGACTGTGGATTTACAAACGAAGAATTCCTAGTTGGCAACCTCTCAATCCTGGCTCCCCTGAGAAAAAGCGATCACGCCGTTGTAGCCTTCAGTTTCGTCAGCAAAACTGAGCTAAGATACCCCACCAAAAACTTGCGCTGGAATTTCAAACGGTTGAATGTGTCAGCTCTCCAGGACTATCTACAACAGGTGGATTGTCATGTTCACCCTCAAATCGATGTGAATGCTCAATGGGACTCCTTACTGCACACGCTCATATGTGCTACAAAGAGTTCCGTTCTTTAAATGGTCCCCAAAATCTACAAGCAACATACAATTATCAAGAACCGCACTCTTCGTTTGTTAAGTCGCGAAAGGCACTGTTGGGCAGAATACAAACGAACTGATATCAACGGCGCATACAGGCAATACAAACATAAAAGGAACATATGCACGAAGGCTATAAGAGAGGATAGGCTACAGTACCAGATAAAGCTTATTGATAAATTTGTCTCTAATCCGAAAAGCTTATTCCGTTATGCAGTCTCTCTTCGTCAAGCCAAAACTTGATTTTCCCAACTGCTAGGTTCTAATGGCCTGAACAATAACGACAGCGACGCCGCTAACCTTTTGGCTGAACCATACTCTCGGACACTACAACCGACCCACATCAACTATACTGATGACAGCTTCATCTGCAACTGCACAGGACTCTCCGTAGTGAACCTGAGTGCTTACTTGGTGTTCCGGAAACTGCAGCACCAAACAAAAGACATTTCTCCTGGCCATTCTGCTATACTGAAGGAAGCAGCTTCAATCCTGGCAACGCCGCTTAGCGTGATGTTCTCACACTCGTTAGGCCGAGGCAAACTACCGGAAAATTGGAAACTGGCTCACATCACACGGATTTTCAAAGGAGGTCGATGCAGCGAACCTCCAAGTGACCGACCGGTGGCTCTTCTCTCAATACCTTCAAAAGTCATGGAGTCCCTGGTATGCGATGGTTTGTTTGACTAGTTACTGTCCTCAAATTTCTTCTCACCCCAACAGCATGGTTTCAGGAAGGGTTACTCTTGTACAATCAACCTGCTGACTGCGGTGGACAGATGGACAGGCATCCTTGATCACAAGGGGAAGGTTGATATCATCTACCTTGATTTCTCAAAAGCTTTTGATAAGGTTAACCATACATGTCTTATCAATAAGCTTAAACGATTGGTTATCAGACCACCTCTAATCGATTGGCTCACTTCATACCTGAAAAGTCGACATTTTAAGGTTAGGGTTAACTTCACTTTATCTCAGGCTATGGAATGTCCTAGTAGGGTCCCTCAGGGCTCAGTACTAGGACCTTTTCTCTTCTTGATCTACATAAATGATCTTCCTCAACAGGTTACGTCAGACTTATTACTTTTTACCGATGACGTGAAACTTTGGTGAGAGATACGCAACCAAGACGGTATACAGGCACTTCAGGCGGATCTGACTGGACTTCAAAGTTGGGCAGACGATGACGGACATACCTTTAACACTCCAAAGTGTAGAGTGGTCCATCTGAGACATGTTGCAGACTACAGTTACAACTTAGGAAACTCTTCTCTAGTAGTATATCGAGTCGAAAGAGATTTAGGAGTCCTGATGCCCTACGATTTAAAGTCTTACGCTAACTGTGACAAAAATGCCTCCCGAGCCAATCTTGCACTGGAAACAGTGAAGCGCATTTTTGGTTAGTTTGACGGAAGGACTTTCCATATGATCTTCAATAGTTTTATCCGTCCCCATTTGGAGTACGAAACACAGTATTTCCTCCGTCAATCCACAAGGATAAGGACACTCTGGAGCGTATCCAACGGCGAGCCACGAAATAGGTTCGAGGACTCAAGTTTGAACCTTATGAACAGCGCCTCCAGTTGCTTAACCTTTATCTGTCAGAGTACAGGCGTCTTAGAGGTGACCTTCTAATGACTTACAGTATCATTAACACTTCTGGACATCCTCTTAAACACCTACTGAAGCTTAGTTCCAACACTAACTTAAGGGGTAACGCCCAGAAATTGGAAATACAACATAGCAGAACGGACTGTATACACAACTTCTATCTCTTAAGAGTTGTCAAACGCTGAGCTAGTCCAAGCGACTTCCCAGGAGTCCTTCAAGAGGCAACTTGATCTATTCTTAAGGATAAAGGATAGTATCACATTATGATTTACCAAGTTCTTTCCCCTTTTTTTTGTTAACATACCTAGGTTCCTGCCTGGAGGTTTTGGTGATCCCCTGCTACTAGACACAGAAACCCGTTGAGCGAAAGCTTCTTTTATTTCGTCCATAACCATTTGAACCACTTTGAATCAACGAAGCAACTATGACTTAAAATTTATAACTTTCTCTTACTATTTAAAAATTCAACTGAGCATTGCAAGAAAACACCCATTTTTATGTCACAAATCTAGTCTCATGTACCAATTTTCAAAGGTGGTCGACGCAATGAACCTTCAAGTTATCGGCCGGTGGCTCTTCTGTCATTACCATCAAAACTCATGGAGTCCCTGATATGCGACGGTTTAAATGACTATCTACTGTCCTTAAATTTCTTCTCACCCCAACAGCATGGTTTCAGGAAGGGTTACTCTTGTATAACCAACCTGCTGACTGCGGTGGACAAATGGACAAGCATCCTCGATTGCAAGGGAAAGGTTGACGTCATTTACCTTGATTTCTCAAAAGCTTTTGATAAGGTTAACCACTTGTGTCTTATCAACATGCTCAAACGACTAGGTATCAAACCACCTCTAATCGATTGGCTTACTTCATACCTAAAAAATCGACACTTTAAGGTTAGGGTTAATTTCACTTTATCTCAGGCTATGGAATGTTCTAGTGGGGTCCCTCAGGGCTCAGTACTAGGGCCTTTTCTCTTCTTGATCTACATAAATGATCTTCCTCAACAGGTAACGTCAGACTTACTACTTTTTGCCGACGACGTGAAACTTTGGAGAGAGATACGCAACCAAGACGATACACAGGCACTTCAGGAGGACCTGACGCGACTTCAAAGTTGGGCAGACGATAACGGACATACCTTTAACACTTCAAAGTGTAAAGTAGTCCATCTGCGACATGTCGCAAACTATAGTTACAACTTAGGAAACTCCTCTCTAGTAGTATCCCAAGTCGAAAAAGATTTAGGAGTCCTGGTGCCCCATGACTTAAAGTCTTACGCTAACTGTGACAAAAATGCCTTCCGAGCAAACCTTGCACTGGTAACGTTGAAGCGCATTTTTGGCCAGTTTGACGGAAGAACTTTCCACACAATCTTCAATAGTTTCATCCGTCCCCATTTAGAGTACTGAAATATAGTACTCCCCCCTCACTCCAAAAGGACAAGGTCACTTTGGAGCGTATCCAACGGCGAGCCACGATATCAGTTCGAGGACTCAAATCTAAGCCTTACGAAGAACGCCTCCGTTCACTAGACCTTTACCCACTAGAATATAGGCGTCTTAGAGGTGATTTACTAATGGCTTATAGTATTCTTAACACTTCTGGACATCCTCTTAAACACCTACTTAAGCTTAGTTCGAATAATAACCTAAGGGGTAACACCCAGAAACTGGAAACACAACATAGCAAGACGGAATGTAGACACAACTTCTACTCTTTAAGAGTTGTCAAAAGCTGGAATTCGCTGCCGGCCGAGCTAGTCCAAGCGACTTCTCAGGAGTCCTTCAAGAGGCAACTTGATCTATTCTTAAGGACCAAGGACAGCATCACATTATGATTTACCAATTTCTTTTCCTTTTTTATTGTTAACATACCTAGGTTCCTGCCTGGAGGATTTGGTGATCCCCTGCTACTAGACACGGAAGCCTGTTAAGCGAAAGCTTCTTCTATTCCGTCCACAACCATTTGAACCATTTGAACCAATATTTCTGTAATACAACATCTTATGTATTTGACCTTGGGTTTGCGGGCTATTCGTCTGAATTTCGAACCGGGCGGGTTATGAATTTCTTGAGTATTCCTTTAAAGAAGTCGGCTCCTGTTGATTTATCCAGTAATTTCCAACAGTTGATCGCCCTGCAGTATGGTGCTCCAACCGCAAATGCGTGCCTTGGTTCACTCGGTGAGTTATCGTCAATGCGAACTGTCGCATGTGTCAAAGGCGATAACTACAACCCGACAGTCGAAGCAATCGCAGCGTAAGTTGAATGGTACTTATAACTCTATTTGATATTACAGTTTTAATTCATACTGTTTTATCGTATGAAATAGGTCTTTTGAACGGTCTTTAGTGTTTAATCTCCATCATACTGTTCGCTTTTGTCTTGTGGTTACATAGGCACTAATTTTCTATCCCAGCTTCCAGAGGTCGGCATGTTTCTCCCCCAACTGCCTATCGGTTTTCTATGGATATTTCGTAATGCCTTTTAAAGTTTAACTTTAACTACTGGTCTTTGAGATTTAATGTTTGCTACATTATAATACTTGGCATCTTTCTAGTGTGACTGATATAATCAGTAGGTAGATGTGAAATCCTAAACTTTTTCTTATTGTCCGGGGATATTTGGTTAGGAATTCGAAAACTTAAGGTTCATGATCCCATTAGTAAGACGCTTTTCTGTAATTTTTGGGGTTGAAAGTTCTTATATAGATTGCTCTTATTCAAAGGAAGCAAAATACTATGGTAACAGTTGTCCTCATAAAGTTCATTATAGGTGTTTAAAAACCTAACAAAAAACAATCCAACTGATCATTTAGTTGTGTTCTTCACCTAGATGTGTTCATTTTCGCTAATCAGAGTAATCTGGTCAACATGTACCATGTAGAACTACTTTTGTCACTGCTTTGTGTCCAGCCAACCATTCGGAAAAGGCATGTAGTGATGTGTTGTAGGTGAATTACATTTTCCAAATATGATCTAAATCCGTACTCGTACACATCGCAAATGTGTATTTGTCAATGTTACCACATTATTATAGCGGAAATAAATTGTGTAAAAAGAACAGGGATCAGAAATTAGTAATTAAATCTTGTTGTTTGGGGTATTTCGACTGATTGGTTGATTTTACAAATTCACGGACATACAATCTAGCAAAATACTTACCTAGTATACCTAAACCGTATGACGAGGTGATCAGTGATGGGATACTCGTAAGCTACTAGTATTTGATCACAGATGCCTTAGAAATATTTATCACATCTGCTGGGAGTGAGGTTAGACGCAGGCTGTTACGGAATATTAGTGAATCACTTGATGGAGTTGTGAATCTCCATCGACTGAGATGTTTGGGCTACGTGTTACGTACACCGACTACCACGATGTTCAATGCTGACTAGTGTTGGGGATAGTTGGAAGAAAGCTAGGGGCGGCCAAACCAAAACTTGACATCGGTTTGTGAAGTCACTAACTTTTAGTCTTAGCCATGTTGGTAGATGCAGACTACTTGGTTGGGGTCCGCGTGATTATCGTAGCTAATTGGTTGGAGACTCTGGGTGACATGGCTCAGAATCGATCACAATGGTGTAGGTGTGTACACTATTTGTCTACCCTTAAACCGTGAGATTAGAATCGTTTCATATCTTTCTTTCTACGAACTAATTATTTCTTCCTGTACTATATCCAAATATGCAATCTTTTTATATATTGCCACCATTGAATTAAGTACTTCTATGAACCCCGTGTTTTGACGTATCTTCCTTATTTATTAATGTACCTACCAATGGAGCATTAGATGTTATGTGTGACTGTCTAGAATCCGACTCAGATTTGAACTTACGATTCCCATTAGATACATCCGAAGTTACTAAGTGCTTGAAATTATGTTTACGATCTACCTTATTCACATTTTGGGGAGACCTTTACAGACAGAAAGAAGGTATAACAATGTGTTCACCAGTTTTTCCGATTGTAGTGAATTTATTCATGCATTCTCTAGAAACCAGTGCAATCACAAGATGTTTATGTCCACCAAAAGCCTGGCTATGGTATGTAGATGGCATTTTTATTATCATTAAACGGAATGGTTCGGAAGGTTTGTTTGAAAATATAAACACCATTACGGAGAGCAGTAATTTAACAAAGGAAATAAAATGCAGTGACCACAAACTAGCGTTTCGATTGTTTGGTTGAACGAAGAAATAATAATAATAAGTTGAAAATGTATTCAGGAAATCAACACATTCTGAAAGATACTTAGATTTTGGTTCGGCTCATGCGTTTTGTACGGAAGTCACAGTTGTAAAAAATTTAATTAACAGAAGTATTAATCTCGTTACGGATAAGGAAGACCAACAGGTTGAATTAAATAGAGTTTCGCCTGTGTTTAGGGATAACAATTACCCCGAAGAGATTTTTAAGATTATTAGGAATGAAAGAAAAATTAAATTGGAGTGTACTGAAAGGATAGAAGACCACCATGGTCATTCCTTACCGTAGGGAAACATAGAAAGAAATCAAGAGGATTCTAAACAAACATAATATCGGAGTGTATTTTCGGGCTAGTGACGCCATAAGATCAACATTAGTGAAAGTTAAGGATAGGTTTTCAAAGGAAGAACAACAGAATGTCGTCTACGAGATGAATTCTCATGATTGTAATACAGTTTATGTTGGAGAAACTTCCGGACAGTTGAGTGTGAGGTTAAAAGTACACAAAAAATGTTTGAAAATGTTCCCAAATTCTCGGTTGACCTAAAGAACCTTGAGAAGATGTTGGTGATCGTGTTACTTGCGTTGGAAATGGGACATACGATTATTTTTGAAGGGACCAAAATACTTCAGAAAGGTTTTAACACTCACAAATAAAAATTGACAGCAGAAGCGCTGTATATATGGGCGAACATGAATAGCCTGAACCGAGAGAATGGTATTCAACTAGCAACTACGTCGCAAATATTCGTTAACAAGTATTTGGACCCATTCTTTATCCAACCTGTTTATTTCACATACGTCGTTATTCTGACTGAAATTAATGTTGGTTATTTTAACAATACAAATGTGTATTTGATGATTCTCATGTTACATGCATATCAATGATGCACTAACAATTTTTCAACCTTCAACTTGCACTTTTATTTTTTCCTTCATACAAAAACACATTAACACCTAGTATCAGCTATTAATATCTCAATCTTACACATACATACGCATACACAATTCGTTCAGTTATTTATTTTCAGATCGTGAACTTTTTACATGATTCGCATTTAACTGACTCATGTTATTCTATTTACAAAAGTCAACATCCAAATATGATTGGGTTAACACAGTATAGATTTAATCTGATTTGATTGTTGAAGCGCTATATATTTTTTTGATGTATTTTGATTATTACTCTGAAGAAGTCCAGACAAGTTTGCTGGATGAAACGTTGGAATTATTTAAATTTCAATCGCTTAGATAATTTCAAATATAATTTTCACCTACAGTGACTTCTCTGTACTCGGCGCCCAATTTTCGTCGAACTATTCGTTCTAATATTGACGAATATTCGTATAAACTTCAATTTGTTTGCGTCTATTCATCCTATAGTAACGCTGATGTTAACTATTTCACTTCGTTTCTGGAATTATTTTTGTAGGTATCATGATGCAATGTATCAATTAGAAGGACGTCTAAATGTGAATGTTGCTTCACGAGTTGATTTTAAGTGGAGCGATATTTCTGGAAAATCTAACAAAAGTAAGTTCTCACTTGATGTTAATTTTTTTTTCACAGAAGAAAGCTCTCTTAAATTTGAACGTTCAAATGTTTTGTTTTGCTATGGTGCTGCTCACAGTCAACTTGGTGAATCGTGCCGTCCCAATTGTGAAAATTCACTCCAACAAGCTTTGAAATCTTTCAAGGTATCAACAATATAATTTTTTAAATGTGGATTCAATGTATAACTTATATATATATACGATAACGTGTCTAGCCACGGAATTTCACAATCTCTGGGACCCAAAATTTTTAGTTGCTTTGGATTAACAGATATCATTAATAAACTGGTCACCTCGGCCTTTTCCACTCCGTCCCGCAATTAGCAAACAATGCGCATTATGAAAACAGCTGGGATGATGTCCGTAAAATACGATCAGACCACTAAAGTTGACGTTTTAAAGTGGTGAAACCAATGGAATTACCGTCATTACTCCTGAACGCATTCTGATGAATTTATCCTTTATTAACATGGTGTTGCCGCCTGATGCGAACAATTTTTCAAAGGCGCTGATGACCGAACCCAAAGCGTTACCGGACGTCATCAGAACTACCCTGACTAATTGGTTATAAACCAGACATTCCTCAACCTTACATTATGCTGGCGCCAAAGATGACCCAGATTGGTATAAACTACTCTGACTTTCTCTGTAAGCAGATTTATCTTATCTGTCACATCACCCACTAGACTCACAATTACTAAAGATACGAACTTTCCAACTTTATTACGGTTCATTACATTGAGTGAGTCCAGACACAGGTCCTTGGCAATCTTTCGGGAGTATTTCACACTTTGAAGTCGTGAGGTGCATACTGTGCCTACGGATATTATTTATTTGTGATTTGGATAACCTGTGTATCATCACACGGTAAAGTAATGTCATCTGCCTAACAGTTCGAAGTGTATCTGCGGAAAACATATCTACTCAACCACCATATATTTTCTTCAGAGGTGTTTCTAGAATGCCATTGATGTCAAAATGGTGTAGGAATAGCAGGTCGAACAACTCTTCCTAACCACACATGGTTCAAAACACTGATGAGTAATGAGGATAGAACCGTCCTATCGATGTTGCTGTGGTCATTGTCCAGGTAAGCCGTTTTCCAAAATGCCTTATTTGATTACCAGGACGTCTTTAGGGACTCTCGACCGAAATACCGCCAAATTAACCGACTGTTTTGTTGGTACCAATCTACTTGGTGACATTGACTGGGACAAATTGAAACGGCCCCTGAAATTTTCCAGATGTTACTTCCAGCTGGTCAGGATTATACAAACACCAGGTTTCTTAGTCCGCACGCGAGTTTTGTGAAATCTCTTGAGTTAGGGACTTACTTTTACTTTTGGATTCTTGATTCGACACAATAGACCATTGTACATTCAAAAAGTTTTAGGAAACATTCAAGAACCTATATTTTATAAGGGGGGCGTTTTGCGAAACATCAAGTGGCTTTTTTTTTACAATTTCCATGGCGCTATCCAAATGCAGCCAGTGCTCATCTGTACTTTACGGTGTGGCCAATTAGCTTTTATCAGTTTGTGTGGGATCATAAATTTGTTGACCACCGCAGTGTGAGATAAGTTTAGAGCATACCTGATTATAATTAAGATAGGTACTCCAAAAAGAGTAGTCGACCTCAATGTGGTTAATCTGAGTCAAGGTTTGTGCTGTGGATGGGTGCACAATAGCACATCGGTAATGGTTGCGGTTGTCACTTGCTACAGAAGACGGTCACAGTAACCATCGCATCCCATTTAGCTATCGAAGCAACACCTTTGTGCCTAAACTTCCGGCCTGTTAATTTAAATCTTCAACTATCATCAAGACGTCCATTTTAATACGATGTATTAAAAAGATCATTTGGCTGTCAGTAGAACTCGTCCTTGATTGGATCCGAACTGTAACCCGTCGGTGCGTAGGTGGAGGTCACTAGGCGACTTCTTCCACCCATGTTTTCTTTTAGTGTATCCTTGCAGTTAAAGACCATATCAGTGGTTGGTAATAACGGATCTAACTACTTATTGTTATGTCCACTCTGGCGTTTAGTGCTAGATGGGGTATCGAAACTGGACACTGACCTCACAAAGTCCTCAGATAATCGCACATGGAACAACAGTTTCGAATCTACAGATGGAGGGAGAGTTTGTAATGCCCTGATACGGCCAAGGGTGGGGAGAGTCAGCTCTCCCCCTCGAAACGCTCTCACATGGCCGCGCGTATACAGCCACTGCCAGGGAAGTCCTACTTACTGCCTTCTTGAGGTGGTGTTGCTTACGAAATTGAGAGGACAAAAAGTGAATGTTCGGCGCTTTAACCGGGTCGGTGGACAGGGAGACTCCACCTAGGGGAGTTGGAAAACTCGGATTCCAAATTAATAGTGCACATGGGCTCCAGGATCCTAAAGGAACGAATGGTGCATGAACCAATTGTTGGTGATCGGTTACCATGGGACTGCATCTCCTGATGTTGATCCACTGCCTTGTGGATCAGACCTGTAGGTCGAAGGCTTCGAGTGTGGCACCTTAAGAAAACCACCTACTTCGGTCTGGGTGCTCGGGCAGTACAACAGCCCACAAACAAATCAAATGAAATGACAGTAAATACTGGAAATACAAGGAACTCCAACTCTTGAAGCTCCACAAATCACCGTGTCCATGTGACTTACCTACGGCACTTTTAAAAGATGGTGGTGACTTTCTGGTCAAGGAACTGTCTGAGTTAGTTACAATGCTCTGACAATTAGAAAGTGCTTCAACATCATGGAATTAGTCGATAGTTGTCCTTATCTTTAAAAAGGGTTCTGTAACAACTATCGAGGGATAAGTACACTTCCAACTGAGTCCAAACTATTGGCTCATATGGTCATTCAAGATGGACTTCATCTTAAAAACATAATCTGTTTTGTTCATTAGAACAACACTTGAGCCTTTGTCTGACCGTAATATCATTATATCGTCATTTCGTTTAATATTTCGTAATGCTGTTTGGTGATCTTTGTTCTTGCTCTATTTGAGTCCAAACTATTGGCTTTAGTCATACTTCGTAGATTGTTCAAAACCCGAGAAAGATTGACTCGCGTGGAGCAGGCTGGTTTTCGTTCCGGTCGAGGATGTATCGATCATATCTTCACACTCCACCGAATGTTAGAACACCGTCATACTTATCGCAGGCCAAGAATCATGTGGATCTGTTTCCTGGAGAAAGACTTCTCGACCTTGAGTATGCGGACGATATTGTGTTACTGTGCGATAACACCCAAGCCATGCAATCCGCACTTAATCAATTGGCAATTAGTGTCCGTAGATACGGTATGTGGTTCTCACATTCGAAGTGCAAAGTACTTTTACAAGACTGGCAAAACCCTGGTCCTGTACTCACCCTGGATAGTGAGCAGATAGAAGTAGTCGAGTTCGTGTATCTAGGTAGCTGCATAAGTGCTGGTGGTGGCGTGAGTGATGAGATCAATCCTCGTATAGTGAAAGCCAGAGCGGTTTATGCCAATCTGGGCCATCTTTGGCGCTTTCGTGATGTTAGTCTGGCTGTAAAAGGTCGGATCTACAACGCGTCGGTGAGAGCGGTTTTGCTCTATGCTTGTGAAATCTGGCCTCTCCGAGTTGAGGATGTTAGACGAATCTCTGTGTTCGATCATCACTGTCTCCGAAGGTTTGCTGACATCAAGTGGCAACACCATATTAGTAATGCAGAGGTTCAACATCCTGTGTTCGGAACAGATACTGCTATGTCCGAGCGAACATTAAATCACAAGTAACTTCTGAGACATATTAAATGACCAATATTATCTATACATTCTTATGTTATAACTATTCAATAATTAGATTATGTATATTTATATTCCTCTTATTATACGCTTTATTTTGACGTATAATTTATTGTACGATTTACTGTTCTGAAGCTATGTTTAGTTTATTGACTACTGTCTCCTACGTTCACAGCCACTTTTTGGCTTTATTGTGTACAAATGTTATTTCCTATTTTATGGTGCGTTGAGGTCTGTTTGGTTGATATGTAAAGCCAGTATGTCTGAAATAAATGATTCGATTCGATTCGCATAGTGGAAGCTGGTATTGGTGTTCTGGACTCAAGTGAACGGGCTAGGCGGACATAGGATTAATAAGGACGCTAGGCTGCTCATACCGGTCGAACGTCATTTTTGTTTGGCACAGTGCTAAGATTGTATAAGTCGTGTTTTGATTGGTGGATAGGTCACTTGATAAAAAGCCGGACATAAAGTCACAACAGATACGATAATTCAATTGATGTCACTATCTTGAAACATCGACTTCGGTGACTTAGACATGTTCTACGAATGTCGTCCCAGAGAGTTCCAAGTCGTGCATTGCTTACCGACGCTGGGACTGGTTGCAAAAAGCAGTGAGGTGGTCAGTGTATGATATTGTGTTGAGGTATGAAAGAATGCTGAAAATGACTGGCTTCTGTTGGTCCTTAACGACTTCCTAATTGAAGTCCTAGAGATGGTGTAGCACAGTGGTTTGAGACACTATCAGACATGGCTGAGAATAGAAACCAGTGGCGATCCTGTGGTAACTTGTTTTACTTCCTTCATAAAAGTGAGCGTAACTTCTTTAACTGAAAGGAATCTTTCTGGTTGTATTTTTACTAACTGAACTGTTTCCGCCACTATTATTACTTCACCCTCATACACTAATTTCTGTTTGTTGTTGTTATTCTCTATATCATATACACTTTACATTCTGTATCTCCTCACACTGATTGTTATTGTGTGGTGCATATGTATTTAGTGCCCCCTTGTACCAATATTTATGTGGTCGAATAAAGAAATAATTGTAATACTTCACTTGATTTTTGAAAAGGGTTCTCAGATTGCATATAATTTGTGGATTTTAATGCAAATGTGAAAGAGGGAAAGTTTAAACAACATCCATAAAATTCACTTTTGGTTTTAATTGTCTCTATGCACTCTGAAACCTAGATAAAATAATCAGCCTGAGACGTTATTCCTAATCTGTTTAGGTTTTCAGACACTTCCTAGTGGAATTTCTTATTTCAACTACATAACATCAAGTGGATTGTGTAGCGGAATGTTATCTTATTGGTCACACTGCATTATTCGATTAACAAGATTCAATGCTCATTAACGATAAGAGCACTTCGTGATAAATCTTTTTGCATGTTAATATGACATGGAGATAATTGCGAAAACTTCCGTCTCATCACCATGTTTCACGTCTTTTTTAATTTCCTTTACAGATTGCTTCCTGCACATTTGACTACATATCTTCAGATTTGATGTCTGGGGTTAAAGATCCTCTACCAGATTTAACTTCATCAGCACTAACACTGTTCAGTAATCTTATGCTTGCTCAAGCATATGAATGTGTCCTCTCGAAAGCTGAAAAAGGTAATGATACAGTATCATAATATGATATTTTTCCCTTAGATAAGAAAAAGCCTGCCATTTTAGCAAGAATAGCATCAACCTTGACTAGTCTTTACGAAGACTGCCTGTCAGATTGTTCAGGTGGAGCTAAAAATGTTGTTCCAAAAGTAGTGTAATTTTCTTATCATTCTTATCTTAGGATTGGTCTGGTGTATTAAGCATGAAAAAAGGTTTATATGAAGCTCTGACACAATATCATCAATCTAAAGCTTGTTGCGAAGCCAAACAGTACGGGGAACAAGTAGCTCGCATATCAGTAAGCTGCATTGCTTTTTTCAGCGTTTCAATTATCTTTTTCAATTAAAAAATTAGAAAAAGCTACAGTGCATTTAAGCTAACTTCTTTCTTGCTCAGATCGCCTTATTGTAGTGATATAAGATGTAGCTAAATGTATCTAATATATTCTTATTGTAGAATTACTAGTTTGTTAGTTTTATAGACAGTAATGATAAGGTTGAGTTGTAAATAATTTGACAGTGTTAGAGGTGTTTTTTTACCAAGGTCATTATAATGCATTCTGATCATATTCATTGAATGCCTGACTTGGGCTAAGATTTAATAAAGAATAAAGTTAGTGCAAGTCACTCAATTATTCTTTGAAGCTAGTAATTGTTTCTCTTAGCCGTTAAGGGGATATGAAGGAAATACTGAGAATAGTTTGAAATCTATAATCAGATAGTATACAATCTATTTTGTGCTGTCTACTCTTGCAAACGTTTTCCCCGCCTTTCTATTTTATTGTGTTGTTAAGAATACGTTCAATGCTCAATCACTAAATACGACACATTCTGAAGGAAATTATTCTTAAAATTTGCATGCTGATTTAAGGTGGTTTTTGTTTTATTGATTAATTCAGTGTTTTTCATTCATTGACTCTCAGTAAATTTCCAATTTTATTAGTTCTTTTAGAATGCAGTTAGTTTGATTCCCAATGCATTCTCATCTTGCTGATTAATTCATTGTAATTTTGAGATCGGTGAAAATCGCTGTCACTACTGATCATTTAGTTACTCAATACTTAATAGAATGAATTTGTATGTAATTCGATTCTCCCGGGGTCTCTGCCAAGAAAAGCTTCTATACAATCCTGAACTTGTCAATATAGTTAGCGGGCAGGAGAGATAGCTTATTTTATTGAATCCAGAGTTAAGGAAAATCCTTTTAGTCTACAAACATATCAGAATAGCAGCAATTTTAAACTTAGTCCACTTTAACTTTTTAGGCAGTACTTTTTTCCATTAGATAAGGACAATAACTGTACCTGATCTATGTGAATTTACCATATTTTGTCAACTCTCTTCTAATTCCTAAAACCTGATTCATATTGATATAGAACGTTCGTAATAGTGCATAATTAAAAGTGGGTACTACAAATAAAGAGATCGTCATCTCATTCTCAGATGACTGACTTTTTAGTATCTTTAAAAAGTATTTCTTATGAATGATCTGTTTTTAGGATATTATGTCTAAAGTGTCGGGTCAACGAAATAAAGGCTTGCTTTTCATCCATTAAATCATAAATTGGTGCAACGAAAATATTGTCATATCGTTGAAGGATTTCTTTAGAAGAGCAGAATGGTTTTAAAGCTATTCTTTGACTATTCTTCATTACATATCATCATATGCTAATCATCATTTGTCATTTTCCCTGATAACATTTCGTTTTGGTATGTAGAGAAGGCTCTCAGTATTATTTTTAGTATAGGATTGTGAAGACTATTGAGACCATAAAAGGAATCCAAGTTAGACCACTGTTCAGAACCTGGGAACACTGAACAGCCGTTTCGTTCTGGCATGAGACTTTGTATTAGCGTACACCCACAACCTCACCTCCGTGAATCGAGCCCAGAATCTTCGGTCTCGTGCGCGAACGCCTAACCTCTAGATCACTGGGCGGGCATCCAGTGGTATGCAAGTCTAACTTCAATTAATCCAAAGTATTGCTCCATCATACTAATAATTATTATTTTCCCACTTATAACGGGCTTCGAAAGAAAATGCCCGGAGTTTAAGTGAAAAGCCATAGTGGGGTTCAACCGTATCAGGGTTAACTACCAAGCACAATGGAAGGTGGTCGCTTAGTATCGTGGAGTGATTTTAGCTAGACATGTACATCGTTGAATCCCAACTCAGCGGTCTAAAGGTTAGGTGTTCGTGCGCGTGACCGAAGGTCTCAGGTTTGGTTCCCAATTTTGTAGTCCTGTATCCTAACTTCTGGAAAGCCCCATACTAAAACAAAATGACCATCTAATACTTTCAGGTTTCCAATGGTTGTTTAACTTGAATCGGTTCCTGTTCTCAGTAATGTTTGATTTTGTTGAAAATTCTACCAGCAATTTTCCTATGTTATAGTAACCATGGCTTCGCCACCATAATCTTCCTGTTCCGGTTTCTCCATATACGTGAATCATCTCGGAGATTGTTAATAAGATAGCATATTCTGTCTGCTGGAAAGCATATAACTGATAATAGTGTGTCAAATTATTGTAATCACTTTTTGTTCGAGAATAATTCGAATTTTATAAGAGCTTCGTGATTAAGTCAGTTCTTAATTTAAACTGTAAAAATTCCCTATACTAGCAACGAATTTATTTTCAAAAATTATATTCAGAATAATTAAAACGTGATATTGTATCTTAATCACTTCCTACATAAATGAATAAGTTCTTTTATTAATTCATTCTTTAAAACTTTCGGATGTATACTTTGTTTATATTTTGATGAATGTTTCATGCTATCCCATTGTGTAATTGTCATATTCTAACTTTGCTAAAACTCCTCATTGTTTATTCAAATATTACGGATTGGCTTTTGATATTGTTATAAAAGTATTCGTAAATGCTATTATTCGGCTCTTAATATAAATGAGGATACAAAGCCTAACACTGTCGATATACTTCAAAACCTATGTTACTGCTTCAGAAACAATTAGAAACATCTAGAAGAAAAAAGTTATAGTGCATTACTCCATTTTTTTTCAGAACTTTCTATTATATTAACACCTAAATTTTCATGTCTTAAGTTTTTGCGCTCTCATCTTATCCTACTTTTTCTTAATACAGTTTGCTTATGAGCTAATCAAATGTGTTGCTCGAAGTAGTTGTTTTCAGAGAAAGAATTTAGTGGAACAATTTAAACAAGAAGAATCAGTTGCAATAAAAGACAATGACCATATATATCACGAAAAGGTACCCGCCAGAGGAAGTCTTGCTCCTGTCGAAATTGTTGATGTCATTAAAAAAACCCCACTCACGTTCCCTTTGTCCTCATCGACTACCAAAGATTACTTCGAAAATCTACTTCCTATCGCTGTTACAGAAGCTGTTAACACTGCTAAAGGTGTTCGTGCATCTCTTATCGACAGCGAAATTTGCACGCTACGAGGAGCATCCACTAAAGTGAATGAGTGAGTGCGTTTTTTTACTTAACCCGTGTAATCACGGAAATAAAATAAAAAATTAATACCAAAACCAGACATCTGAAACCCATTTATGAGTGGCTTTTAAACTTCAAGCAATTTTGTGTATATGGTGACTGTCTCGATCTGGTCATCCCATATAAATATATATTCATTCAAGTTAACATTTCCAGTCAACAGATAAATAAAAACTTAGTGTGGAAGAAACTATAATATTAGAGAATCAGGCGCAAATAGAAACCATGCAAAACTGTTTCCAAATCAATATTATGTTCAAAACTTCTAATTTAAAACATCGATGCAGGAGTTGTGGTTGGACCTGCTTGGTGTATGTTCTATTTGTCACAATCGATATTGATTAACAGTCCCATTAACTTTTTCTAGTACTCAACGCTTAAAACTATTATTATTTACCCGATGATCCTACAACACATGAGCAACATTTTGAAGATGTTGAGTGACCAAATGCTGGTAATCTATGTCCACAGCAATACGGAGAGGGTTGTTTCAAATTTTACCCTTTAATAATCAATTATCTATCCCTCGCGCTCTACTGGTAAAATAAACGCCTTATTTATCCTTGTCTTGATCACGTCAAACATCACAAACACAGAAGCGTAATATAAATGACTATCTCAGGATGTCGCTTGTTCTAATGATCAGTCAGTCAGCTACAACACAGAGTCAGGTACATATACGCATCAGTCCAAGTTTCCACACCTCATTAGCACAAGATCAACGCCGAATTCATCAAAGTAGTTATTTTAATGGTAGTAATATATAAAAGAAAGATTGCATATTTGGATATAGTACAGGAAGAAAGGTCTAGTATGTAGAAAGAAAGATATGAAACGATTCTAATCTCACGGTTTAGGGGTAGACAAATAGTGTACACACCTACACCATTGTGATCGATTCTGAGCCATGTCACCCAGAGTCTCCAACCAATTGGCTACGATAGTCACGCGGACCCCAACCAAGTAGTCTGCATCTACCAACATGGCTAAGACTAAAAGTTAGTGACTTCACAAACCGATGTCAAGTTTTGGTTTGGCCGCCCCTAGCTTTCTTCCAACCGTCTCCAACAATAGTTAGTATTGCGCGTTGTGTTCTAATGGAATCTTTGGCGATTTCAAACTTCCTTATAACTGCTCATTGTTACACTTTAGTTGCATGTTTTCACATATGTCATTTTATCGATTTATGTGTAAACATCGTCATTTATCTGCTACTGGTATTTTAGTGTACTTACTCGCTTACTTCTGTTACACCTTGTGAAGGAGCATAGACCACTCACCAACGTTCTCCATTCAACTCTGTCCTGGGCAATCTTTTCCAGTTGTTATTCATCCTCTTGATGTCTGCTTCCAGTCCTCGGCGCAGTTTGTTTTCGGCCTTCCTCTTTCCCCTTACCCTCCAGGATTCCAAGTTAGGGATTTCCTCTTGATGCAGTTTGATTCCTGCAATGCATGTCCTACCGACATCCAGCGTCTTTTTCTAATTTCCTCCTCAGCTGGAAGCTGGTTTGTTCTCACTCTCAGTAGGCTCTTACTGATGGTATCTGGTCGACGGATTGATTTTTCAACGATGATCCGTAGTGTCGCGATTTGGTATGTGCGCGACCGGTCCTTACGGAATCCAGTTTGTTGATCTCGATGTTGGACGTCTACTGAGTCTTTCATCCGGTTTAGCAACACTGTTGAAAACCTTTCCTGGTACTGACAGTACTGTGATGTCTCTGTGGTTCTCACACTTGCTCAGATCTCCTTTCTTTGGTATTTTGGCGGTGTCCTTCTTTCTAATCTGTTCTTCCCCCCAAATCTTCCTGAAGATAACGTGGAGCCTGTTTGCAGTTATTTCTATGTGTGGCTTTAGTGCTTTAGCTGGTATATTGTCAGGTCCAGCTGCTTTTCCACTCTTGATTTGTCTGATGGCCATGTGTATTTCTTTGATTGTCGGTTAAGTGACATGTACAGGACAGTCTGTGTGTGCTGCTTCGATGTCCGGTGGATTCAATGAAGCTGGTGTATTTAAGAGTTCCTTGAATTGTTTCACTTATCTGTTCCTCTGTTCTTGAATCTCTGTGATCGTCTTGCTTTCTTTGTCCTTGACCGGTTTCTCTGGTTTATTATATTTCCCTGTAGGTTTCTTCTTTATCATATAATTGTTTCATATTTCCTTCTTTTGTAGCTTTTTCCACTGTCTTCGCTATGTCTTCCATGTGCTTCTGCTTGTCAGATGTATTGCTCCTCTTCACTTGCTTGTTTTCTTCTGTTTATTCAGCTTGTACCTTCACTTTCTCTGTTCCTGTTCGACTGTTGTTAATTACCGTCTTCTTGTTCCTCCTTTCTTAAATCTTGTCTAGGGTTTCGATAGTGATACATTCCTTATGATGATGCTGCTTGTTGCCCAGAACCATTTTATCTTCTACGTTTGTATTATTCCAGCTTGTCCCATTGACATTCGTATTTGTCTACTATGCTTTTTACTTTCGTTAAACAATTCGTGTTGTGTTTCTCTGAATACTTAAATGTAGGCATTGTCTTTTAAGTGGAAAGTGGAATATTACTTTAAAGCCAGACTTTCTTTTATGTGAATTGTAAGAGTTTTGGTAATTGGTTTATAAATTGCAGTTACACTTTTTCGGTTTCATCAACATTATAGTGTGTACTTCGACGATCTTACCGCGATTTTCCTATGGTTCTTGACCAAGAAAATCTTTTTGTTGCATCACTACGAAAGTGGCTTTTAGAAAACTTCTTTTCTTCAACCATCCCTTATTTTAGTTACGGTTTTCTTTCGTGAAGATGTTTTAATGTCTTCTATACCATTTTCTATGTAACAAGCTACTAATGGTGTTATTTTTCGATATTTTCAGAGTGTTAGCTTCATACAATTTCCCGGCAGCATTACTTGCTAAGGGATCAAACTCAATTACGGATAATATTTTATCCAAAGCTACTTCTATACGTCGAGATGGTGGGGCAGAAAAATTGTATCAGCAACTAATGTCGATACCTGAATGCGTTCAACGTAATAAAGAAATTATTGAGGCTGTAAGCTTTCAATACATTTGATCGAAATTGTAAAAACACTGAATTTATTTAGTTATAAATATTTATTTAAATTTATAATTCTGAAATTGAATCTGGGTTCGTATATTCTGTTTTTAGTCACACATTTATTTAAGCTTAAAATAATTATACCATCTGGCTGTCTATGTTTTTCCTCTCACAAAAGTATGCTTTAATCACAATAGCTCGAACAATTGATTTTTTATAATTATGTAACACACGTTTGAGTTGGTTTATTCAAGAGTACCTTTAGTCCGCGCATAATATGACATTTATCGTAATTTATTAACTTATACTCACTTATATAATTGTATGATTATTTCTTATAAAAAATGGTGATAAATTAGTAGTTTTGTAGTTAGAGCACCGTTATTTCGAAACATTGGGCACAAAATTGAGTCCTGCTCCAATCCAATTTGTCAGCCAAGCAGTATCACTAACTTCCGCACCTAAGAGAAATTTGAAGACAAATACTTAAAACCTGTACGTGGTTACTGAGTGGTATTGAATTAATTTTAATTTCAATGAGTTGATTTTCTATCATCACTGTTTGAAAACCTAGACAATTGTGTCCCAGATTCATAATAACTTAAGAATGTATGTACTTAGTCGAGATGAACTTTTATTATTCCTAATTAGCGTAAATCTATTTCCTTGTTTTCTATACAAATTTATTTACTATCAAATCAATATTTTTCTATTTCAATTATTTAGGAGAAAAGTTCACTAGATGATGAAGAGAATTCTGATAATAGTTTACGAAAACAATATGGTGAACGTTGGTCACGGAAACCATCAAGTGAATTGAACAAATTATGGCGTTCTGATATACAAAAATGTTTGAATTTACTTGAACAAGTAAGCAATTCATTGTTCAGTAATCGGCTATTATTCTTTTGTAAAAAGAGACTAAAATATTAACATTCCTGAATAAAAATAACCTTTTGAATAGAAAAGAAAAGAAGTCATGATGGTAATCACAAAAGTGGTACTAAAGGATAGTATCTATAAAATTTTACTAAATAAATGCGTTTTAGAGTTCATGCAAATGATATCTTTTTAAAATAATCTACATTAGACTTACCAGTCTCTTCTGTTTTTGATTTAAAGGGAATTCGTTACATGATCTGATAGACTTCATCTATTAAATTGTGTTGCATGAACAGAGATACCGATCTATTCCATCATTTAGCCCATTACAACATGCTATCATCTAATTACTTACAAATTTTCCAGGACTGATGAGACCTCCAAGTCAAATGAAGTGGTCGTCACTCAACTACATTACTCCCTATCATTAAATCAGGGCTTGACGTCGATTAGTTCTAAAGCAACATTTTGAATTTAGAAAGAGAGTAACGCATCCAAAATGTGTTGGCATTGTTACTGAAAGTGATCAAAAGACTTTAGGTAACATCTAAGTCCGCCTAACTGCTGAAGCTGAACTACCAGTTAATTCGTCAGGTCACACTGCTCTTCCTTGCTTTGGATCAGCTGTAGCTTCCTCAACATCATTAATAGTTGGGGAACTTGTGCCGATTTCCCGTTCATATTGACTGAAAGGTTAAGTTAAACTGCTCCCAAAAGCGTTCTGTCCATCAGTCTAATCGTATAAGCTAAGAGTAGACCATTGTATATACTTTTTAATACCTGCATTTTGATAAGCCTGAAAAGTCGCCTATCGCCACTACTTTTCCCATCTCTTTTGCTCCCGCTGCCCACCATTGCTCATGATCATTGAGTAAACGTTTTGTTAGTCTACGTTTGAGTTGTGTTTGCTCTTCATCGTTCCCCGAGCCTACCGAACTAAACATCACTCCTATGACTAAATACTTTTCTCTCTAGTTGTTTCTAAAATATACTCGACTGTTTCGTTATTAAGCTGGGCTCTAAAGGGACTTCTTACCTGGGTTTTTCGGCGTCCAGTAAACATCAGATAAACGCTCACTCTCACTGGAGGTTGATCAGTGTCTAACTACATATAGTTTCCTATTGATCCTCCTCGATGATGGCTGCTGGCAATATGGTTTATTTGCGTCGATTTGTTGAGTCAACTTTAGGGGTCATTATGTTAGAGAATGCATCTCTTTATCCTTAAGGTTGGTGCTTGCTAAGTAGAAACGGTTGTTTAAGCATAGTGTCTGCAGACGGTCGCTGTTATTTGTTCATTGAACTAAGATACTGTAAACATATCTCCATGTCTTTCACTTTAGTTTGGACTGCCGCATTAAGAGGTGAAATTTCCTACTATGATTACGACGTATGATAGTTTGTCTACAAAGTTCGTTCTTTACTTCATCCGAACTGCAATTAGTGGAAACGGAGGCACACAGTGTGTGTTGTACGACTCAAGCAACTGTGTTAAAATCCACTTTAGGAGCACATGATCCGCTTTTGCGCCTAATACTTGTGTACTCCAGCGAAAATTATCAGTCAAGACCCCAGATACATGGAAAATAAATCTCTCTGGTTTTCTATATTGACCAGGTAAGGTCAGGTAAATGATCGCATTTAAATCCCTTGTGCTTGTTACGTAGACGTAGCGTGTATCGGTGGAATGAGACTCTGGAGTTCCTAGATAAGGAAACTTGTTGTCCATCTTTACATAAAGTTCGAACCGCGAAATCACCGACGTGTAGGTTAGACAGAGTTTTCAGGATACCAGAAATGACGTTTCGTGAAATTGAATCGTTAGCATTAACTGCGCCTAGGGTAATGAAACACATAGGCGACGGATTGATGATGGGGACAGAAGGGATATTTAGAAGTGGTGAGGGAATTCGGTTGTGAACGAGTGGATCTAGAGTGCTGTTAGAGGTATGATGTCAGTTGTCACTTCCATGTTACCCGCACTGTCGAACGACAATTCTCTCCGAGTTACTTGAAGACGAAGCTGAATTAGTGAGTGGCCATAGTGACCATGAAGCGTGACCACAGATTCAAAGGGAAAACTGCATGAGAAAAGTTGCGTACTCGGCCTGCTTTCAAGTAGTTGTAGATGAGTTAGCTCTATATTTTAGAGGTCTTGTCTCCGAAAACGGAAATTTATAGGATAAAGTGTAGTGTTTTTTTTAGAGCCGATGTTTTCTAATCCATTCCTCCTGTTGTGAAAAGACAGCATCTCAAGGAAACACCTAACTGCTGCCATACATACCAGTACAATCAGCGGTTAGATTTCGCCCTCATACCTTGAGTTACTGCCTTTAGTCCCACCGTTCACCAACCAACCTGCCTAGCAGTGTGGGATATAAGGGAATGAATATACTTAGCAATATAGCTCGATTGGGTTATTGCTATAGGTAAGCTCAACCACCACATCATGTCAAGAGCTACGATCGGATTCCACGAATAAAGCCTTTTTACCTCCATTCTTTGTTTGTTCTTTCTGAATCCACAAACGTGCATAGATCTTTAGCATATACCGTCCAAGTATTAAATAACTTCTCATGATTTGTCTGCCTCGATTATTAGGTGTCGGACGTTTTGACTCCAATCAAGTTGAGGCATATTAAGCTGTACTCCATGACAGAACTCCTAGAGCCAACTGAAATAGGATTGAACAAAAATTCTTTGTGTTGTTTGGCATCATATAGGTCATTAATTATTGCAGTCATTGGCTGGTGGTCCAAGCTCCAAAACGATCTATGTTAGAAATCAATGGTTTGGGTACCCTCAGATAATGGTGCTCGAATTCAATTGTAGTAGTTCGGAAACAATATTAGACTCTTTCAACCTTGAACATTTCATAGTTTTTTCAAATCATATCCCTCTCTGGGCTAAACAAACTATAAAGTATGTGGACTTTTACATAAGAGTGTACATCTTTATTTCTTTTTATAGATTAGATTTTAGATAAGTTTTTCCGACTTAACATTTGAATCACTGCATAATTCATTGTATCAAACATTGTACTACCTTGAAAATCTTATATTGTTGTATAATTTATAAAAATGAGATTTTTTTTATTTGTTTAAAATTTTTATTTCAAAACTCAAGTATGCTCTTTTGATTCTTTTATTTGATGTAGACTACGAAAACTGATGCATCTCTTTTAGAACGATATGAAAAGCATAAAGAACATTTTGAAATATTAAGTAAACCAGAAGATGAACTTGAAACGCTTATTGGATCAGATGCAAAATTTGCCGAATCTAATACTGAAGCCAATAATGAAGAACTAAAATCTGAACTAACTCAGTTATGCAACAAACTAGAATTAATTAAGACGGAAAGAAATGATCTAATAGAACAGTTGAAATTAGTTGATTATTCACCGGATCTAGGTAAGATTTCTCGATTCAATTTATTATGGTAATCTTTTATTTCTTAATTATATTTTGACAATTTTTTAAAGTGTAGAATTATGATGCGGCTACTGAGCTTACTAATTTAGGTCTCAAACTAGTAAATCACCGTGTTCATTCGAATGGTCTAAGCTGTTTATTTATCTTGAGAGTCTATTTATCCCAGATAAGTCGTCAATTAGCAAAATATCGCTTAATATTGACCAACCTACACTACGTGTAGTGAGCGAACTAGGAATCATTTCGTTTTGTATTGCTTTATACTTGCGAAACATTCCCTTCAAAGGTGAAGATCCACGTGCAACTTGTGTTCATTTGATCATGGAAATCTTTGAGTCCTTATGCGCTTTTGATGGATCTAAAGAGTACTAGATTGGAATTATAAATCGGTTGGTGAGGCCACGAACTTTCATGGACTCATGTGGTTAAATAAGTGGAAAGTAAGCTATAAATGATCGAAATATAATGTGGCATCCGTTTGTATAGATATTGATTGTTAAACTTGAATCCTTAGTATTCAGACGTCCTGGTTGTTGGGTGCACGAAATGTATGTAATATGTGAGTCAAGGCTTCGGGTAAGATGGCTGGAAATTATGTAGTTTTATTATAAAATGGCGATATGTAGTGTAAAGTTGAAATACAAATTCACGTCTTCAAAAATCTTTGCCACTTTCTTGCGTATCCAGTATCGTTTCTAAGATCTTTACAGTTATGTGACGCTAATCGAATGCACCTGCTAGATTAACCAATCAGAATCCCGATTCTCACTTTCTATCTTGCTCCTACTATTTTGTCTGTAGTCTAATGTCCTAGACTTGACCAATTTACCTTTCTGACCTTGAGGCAACGTAAGTTACACTCCTATTAATGTATTTATCCACAAGCCTTTCCCTATCAGCCTTGAGTCTGGAGATCAGTCGGTTGCTAAGCTCATTTTATTATTGTTTCAATCACCCAGCCTATCCAGTCAGCACAGTACAGCCAAGGGCTATCTCAAACACTCACTAACTTATATACGCGAATTATCAGATCGTATAGCACATCAAATAGGAAATCATACTTTAAATACAATAGTGACACCAGTGGTAAAGAGTGAAACAAACAGGTTTACTGGAAGCCTCAAGTGAGGGGAATATTGAAACACAATTATGCAGTTACCTATTAGCCATGTGCTGAGAATTCTATATTGTACCAAAAAGATAATATTGAATAAAGCCATTAATAATAATAATAATAATAATAATAATAATAATAATAATAATAATAATAATAATAATACAATACAAGTGAATAATTCAAAAATTTCCAATTTTCCTAAAACTTTTTCAATTTATAATGAAGGCTTATATCATTGGCTCAAGTTTGAAGCGATATTTATCCTTGATGGAATTAAGGACAGCTGTTTGAACAGGAAAAAATTCCATTAATTCGTTTCACTAGATAATTTTTGGTTTGTGTAGTTGAAGATAACTAGCGTTAGACGAACTTTGTTCACATAGTTCGCGTTTAATTTCAGTATTTCGAGAAAATTAGCATTTCGTCGTTAAAACGTTGTCGATCAATGAATTTTGTTAATTTACTGGGTTTAGAAAATATAAATTATAAAATATAAACATATAGTATTAGCCTTGTTCTGCAATGAAACCGAATAACACTAGGTTGGTTTTTTTCTGTTCCTCATCTTTTTTGGCATTAATTGAAAGCAAATATTTGCTTTCATTACAGTTAGCTAGAATAATCATTATTTTGCGTTTTGTTTACTTAAAATGAACACATTTTCTTTTAGTCGCTGGACTATATACACATTTGTGCGTATGTGTTTGCATGTGTGTGCAATTTCATTATATTATTTTAGTAGTCAGGAGAATATTTTTCTTCAACTTAGTTTCTTTTAGTCACTCACATAAAACTTTCATCATAACTATCGATTAATTCAATCTAAAATAGTAGTTTGATAGTTCGAAGTTGTTTTATTGTCACTGTTACTGGATGATAGACAGTTTCTGTTAACAGGGTTTTAATTCATTCTTTTAGGCTAAAAGCATTAGAAAAATTAAATAGTTTATTAGTCAGTAAAAAAAGTTTAACGATTATCTGCTCATCAGATCAAATCAGAAAGTCGGAAATGAGTTGTCTACAAAACGTGGGAACTTATTATTTAGTTTACCAAGTCATTTTTGCATATTGGCGTTGCACGCTTATTAGTGTTGTGAAGAAGGGCTTCTCGAGCCAGAACAAAAGCATTTCGTTTGTTAAGTTTACGAATGAAGTCTTGATCGATAGATGGGAAGCTACACACAAGACTGAGAAATTGGCACAACCCAATGAATGATTTCCAACACAGAATTGTATTTATTACACGGGTGATGCACTGTTACTCATTGTAGATACTGACCCAGTTCATATCTCAAGTGAAAATATTTACGTATCCAAAAATTCGTTGCACGTGTTAAGTCTAATGCTAAAACCCATTATCCCACAGTATCACTTTCTGTTAGTGTGAATAACTTTCATGAATCAAGTCATTAATTTGGAATAGGTTTCTCTTGTATGGATACTTAATATGCATTTGTATTCTCCGACAGTTAAAAAGCTATTGACGTACTATAGAGAACATAATGAAACAGTTGATTTACAAATTGCTACTGATATGCTTGATGAAAAAATGGTGTCTGTGCGTGAACTTATTCAAGAAAATCTAAATAAACAAGAAAGTTTATTAAATGACTTACAAACAAAAGCTGATATGTTTTACGGTGGGTCCGATGGTAATTCAAAAGACAAAGGACTATTGACAATGCTTAATCTGGCTGCAGATGAGTATTCTGCACTTAAAGAAGCTGTTAGTGATGCCACGAAATTTTACGCTGAGCTTACTGAGATTTGTGTGAATACCCAGTGTAAGGTAAGTTGATGTGAAACAAATATCTTACAATTTTATATTTCATATTTGTAATGATTAAGAGTTACTCTTTTGGGATCTTTAATGGGAATATATACAACTGATTCTGTACTTCATATAGTTTCATTGTAACCTTCAATAAATAAGTCATGGTGTTAAAGTAAATTATACATTATTTGGCTTTAACTTTATTTACTGACACCTTTTGTGCTATCATCTTCGAATTCTGATTTGTTATGGTGATGTTGTGTTTGTTATGTTTGGAAGTCGGAACTTATTGTTCGGTCATTATCATTTTAGTACAATTTACTTAAGAGTTTCATTCAACACGATCAGTTAAATGGTGTTGAATAATTGAATCTGTGTTTATTTAACTACTAAAGTTTATTTGATGTGCTGTGATGTTAATTATGACAGGTACTTAAAAGCCTTAATTATCGTTTCCTAAATCTAGGTCCTAAGTATATCCGTAAGTTGGATTTAGATTCATATATTGTTAAGGTAAGGCTTAGATATTTAGCCTTTAGATATTTCAAAAGAGATTGATACAACCTTTTCTTCTACTATGCTCTTAATGTCTTATGATTTTTTTCTTCATAGCCATCTTCTATCTTCTACCCCCAACTGGTTTATTTCTGCTTCTACGATCTTCCTGATTACATTTAATCTCAATTTCAACATTTTATCTAATCATGCTGAGCCATCTTTCCCCAATGATAATTTTCCTATCTTTTGATGGGTACTTAAGCCACTAACAATCAAACGATTATTAGTTTCCCTGTTTAAATTTTTTTAATACCATTGTTTATTCTATCTCATTGTCACTATGTCTAACAGAAGTTTATTACCCTTATTATTGTAATTATTATCATCCTGAAAAAATAAGTATATATATTTGCGATTGTACAGCTTTGAAAATGGAAGCATTAGACAGCCGTTTCGTCCTAGTATGGGACTCCTCGGCGGTGCGCATCCACGATCCCGCACACGGGATTCCAGTTCAGGACCTTTAGTCCTCTAGACAAGTCCCAGAATTCAGTGAATTTAGCTGTTAATTATCTACAATTAGATATTCGTAGTATCAAACGATATGGATTTATACAGAAAATTTCACTATACTAATTTGCTTTCTTATATTAACCTAAGTTTTATAGTTTTTTTTGGTACTCTGCTTGTCAAGAGAAAACTATACAGATGTAAAATACTAGTGAAGTAAGTACTGATTCGTTTCTGAACTACACTTATATTACGTCAATGATAGATGTATTATTTCCTGGTTTCGACAGCAATAAATCGGACGACATTCTAACAACAAAAATCATTGACTAAAAATTTAAACAAAATTTATTTCTGGTAACTAAGTAATGTATGATGATTGAGTTGCTGATATGTCTAACTGGTATTAAAAATGCAGTTACAATTTTAACTTAGATTTTGAACAACTGTGCTCATTTCTTACTGTTGTTTGTATATTTCTTTCATCATTTTCACATTTGAAAGATTGAAGATTTCTGCGCTGCACGTACTACTGAGAAAAATGAATTAATGTCTGATATTACAACAAATATAAGCCGGGTTCGTGTTTCAGACCAACAAGTCTTTCCGAAACCATCTGGTAAGTTGGAAATTCTTTCTTAGACTTTTGTCGCTGCCTGTTTGTTTGTTTCTACCTTGATTACGTTAACGTTTGAGTTCCGTTTTTTCTTGTATTTCTAAAAACCTTTTGGTGAATAAGTTAATCTATTTGAAATTCTTCAGTGTTCTTTTTCGTATTACTTTTTAGGATAACTGAAAACTAGTAATTAGAGCAAAATTAGTGAATCATAACTGACGTAAAAGCATATCACTAATGTGTGTCAAACCAAGTTCCTACACCATATCAGCGTAGTGAGTTGAAATTAACTAGATAACCGTCGTAAAATTTGAAATAATTATAGTATCTGTGATAAGTAACACTAAGCATAGAGAATAGACTTCAGAAAGAAACAAAAAAATAAGGCAATCAGATTTATTAAATTTCACTGAAACTCATTTAATTTACTTGCATGATTTTCAATCTACCTGTGTATCTTATCTACCTATTGACTTCTTATTAAAGCTTCATATAATTTAATGTAAAATCATTATGAACTGTAGGTAATTGATGAAAGATAAAACTAACGGAATCTTATACAATACTTGATCATTTTATTTGAAATTAGCTAACACTATTTTATTTTCTGTTGTTTTTATTCAGTCCCTACTCGACCTGAACCATCTTATGCTAACCGTGTCAACCCTGTTCCTCCCACTCATCCTCAAGTTCCAATGCCAACACCAACAATTCCCATGATGAATAGTACCACATATCCGATGCCTCCACAAGCATGGAATCCTCAAGGCTGTATGTTATGATTTATCTCTCAATTTGTTTTAAGATCGTTTATTTTAGATTCTACCATTTACCGTAACAACTGATATCAGGCTGTTGCCATAGCTAATATTTTAAGATATATCTTATACATTAACCACTAAATATCATAAAGCTTAGTTCCTTCTGTCACAGTAGTGACCATAAATGAGATTCACACTTCCCTGAATCCTACCCCTCAAGATTAAAAGACTGATGAGTATATAGACCTTTGTTCCCTCTAATGTTATGGTAGACTGTGACTAGTTAATCATAGATTAGTTAGGTTTGGCCTTGAGAATTGGCTATTAAATCTACATTCTTCTAGGAGGAGGTGGGTAGATGAATTTAAGTTTTGCACGTAGTATAAAATTTTCAAAGTGACTGGTCAAAAATCTTTTTTAAGCTATTCTGTATAGATTTTTGTCTAATAGAACATTTGGAAATTTAATTACATAATGCTGTAACTATGTCCGTGTTCATTTCATTGTTTACTGATATTAGCTGTGAGTGAAATAGAAGTATAAACAGTTGAATACAGTGCATTGTGGTTTTTCTATTACTCAATGTTTAATTAATGCCTTTTTTCTTTAAAGTCATAATATACCTGCAATTGTAGTTATCTGCTTAGTAAATAAATTCATGTATACATGGTCCATTATTTAATTTTGTTTCTAGATCCTGTGATGCCTCAACCTTCACCATATGGTAAGCATTAAAAATTTGATGTATATTGTTTTCAACAGAATGTGGAATGGAAGTTTTTTCTCTGGTATGTTGTTTAGTGTGCTTTTTTGTTACTGAAAAAAATCAAATTTGTGTTTGACTAAAGTAAAAATAAGAAGTGTATCGGAATAAGATGAAATCATTGATTTTTTTGAATTCTTGTTAGCTACTTACAACCTAAGTAGCTAACAAGAAATTTGGGCAGCATCATTGATGAACAGGGTGGATCTGATGCAGATGTGAAGGCGCGGATCGACAAAGCAAGAGCAGCATATTTACAACTGAGGAACATCTGGAACTCAAAACAACTGTCAACCAACACCAAGGTCAGGATTTTCAATACAAATGTCAAGACAGTTCTACTGTATGGGGCGGAAACCTGGAGAACTACGAAAGCCATCATCCAGAAAATACAGGTGTTTATTAACAGTTGTCTACGCTAAGTACTTTGGATCTGTTGGCCGGAAACTATTAGCAACGACCTACTGTGGGAGAGAACAAACCAGATCCCAGTGGAGGAAGAAATCAGGAAAAAGCGCTGGAAGTGGGTAGGACACACATTGAGGAAAGCACCCAACTGCGTCACAAGACAAGCCCTCACATGGAATCCTCAAGGCCAAAGGAGGAGGAGAGGAAGACCAAAGAACACATTACGCCGAGAAATGGAAATAGACATGCGAAAAATGAACGAGAATTGGATGGAACTAGAAGGGAAGGCCCAGGATAGAGTGGGTTGGAGAATGCTGGTCAGCGGCCTATGCTCCATCGGGTGTAACACGCGTAAGTAAGTAAGTAAGTAACTTACAACCTAGAAACAATAGTAATCATCATTTATAACCACCTTTACATCATATTATTAAGGTTTAGTAGAATAATGACAATAATTATGAAAAAGTTTGTAAAGTGACCGAGCATTTATTTGTTACTGAATGTGAAGATTTTAGAAATGTTTCTAATGAATGGAAATCGATGCTGCAGCGTTACGTATTAACAACCATAAAGTTGAATAGATTTACAGAATAAGATGAGTAAAGCTCAAAGGTTGACTCAAGAATGAATTTGTAATTAAGAATATGAAATGAGATACTATGTAATTGATTAATAAAAAATAGAACGTACTAGGATGATGAGAGATTTAAAACTGTGTCTATTTTTAAATGCATTAATTTAATTTCAACTTTTTAGTTGTGATTACTTCGATTAAGTCAATCATTCAGTTTTATTCTGTTATCCTTTCTGTTCTTGCTTTAGTCAAATTTATTAATGGGTAAAATTGTATAAAATACTGGTATGTTTGTGTGTGCCTGTGTGTTGAAGAATTTGTCGTAATTTTTATTCATAGTTCTGTACAATATAAACGATTTAAATAAAATACAAGTTAGTTTTATTGTGTAGGTGAAGATTAAAATAAAAGGATTGTTGATAGTTTTATATAATTTGATATTGCAAGTAGATACAAAGAAACGTGTTAGGGAGATCCGAATTATTCCTCAAAAAAGTCCAGAAAGGTCCTGAAAACGTTGAGAAACATTTTATCTAACCAGCGCTAAGTAGAAGCCTCATAGAAACATCTAGAAAGCGAAGAATCAAGTGTCACATTTCTGATTGGATATATACCTATTCAGTTACTTTATTTAGTGTGTTTCTAGAATCTTCTAAGACCATCTGAATCACTATAAATACTCTCGATTTTCTATACATAGAGGTACTTTGGAGCAAAGCGTTCTTCTAACACTTCGCGCCTTTTCTCTCATGTTCAAGTTGCCGTGTAGATTTAGCCCGATGTTATTAGAAGAGCTTAGAATACGGAATCAAGCGTTCAGTTAGACGACACGATAATTCTACCATGGCTTAAAGTTTATCGTTTTCCCTATTTGAAAGTTTGTTCCAAGTTAATGACTAAATCATTGATAATAACATCTCGTCCCTTTGATAACTGTGATACACTTTTTTTTTACATAAATTATGAATATCTTATACTGTTTGTTTATACTAACATATTGCAAGATCATTGGTCATTCCTTTCAATACGTTGATCCAGGTGCATTGTATTATTAATCATTTAACAGGATAAATGCTATTATTTCTTACATCAGTAGAATAAATCTGATACATAACTTAGCCCATGACAGACTATCAGCTTTGAAAATTAAACCAACATTAAATATACAGGTATTATAATTTCAGTAAACTTAATCAGTGTTTAGTAGATTCACCTCAGCGAAAATAACATGGTGTTCTTATCTTTTGAAAAAATTCGTTTTTTATTAATGGTTTTATTTGCGTTTCGTTTTATCACAGTACCAGCTATTCCGTGTTATTAAGAAAAAGCTGTTAACATACTTTATACCTTTCCCTTTTCTTGTTTATTCATTACTGATTGTTACTACTGATTTATTCATCCTACATTTTATGTATTCCTAGTTTTAAGTCATTACTATTATACTTAGTTATTTCATTTCACTAAATTTTCCTATTGAGACACTAAAAAAATGCGTTTAGAGAAGAAATATTTCTTTTCAATTAATTCTCCATCAAAGCTCTACACTAATTATATATGTTTTATAAGTGAGTAGAAAGTCGATGCCAGTTGGATTGTTGTGAGTCAGTTTAACAAAGTAATAATCAGTTAATTACATAACGTTTGGAAAATTAAGATTAAAACTGTAGTGAACTTTCATAATCGGTTATCATTATCAATAACTACATAATTAAAATTGGATGTAAATTTATTTGCATTGTGTCACAGAATAATCTCTTAAAGCTGATTTGTATGAAAATACCTAGTTCGGCCTGTTGTGGGTCGAAATTATGAAATTACGACCGCGACCACTTTCTTCGTTCCAAGTCATGTTGACTAAATCTTTAGATTATGCCAATTAATGCATATTTGATAACTTGAACTAAATATTATGGAAATCACTAGGATAACTGATTCCTGAGTTTCGTTAAATTCCTTTTTTTTGTCATTGAAATAACTGTTAATTACACACCTACAAGTTCACTTCAAATGATTTCCAAACGTTTGTCAAATCGATTATTTATTGTTCAAGGTAGAATATAACTAATTAGGGTTGTCGTCTTAAGACCTCTATTCCAACACATAGGTTGTGATCAGTTGCAAATTAGATGGTTGCCACAATCCATAATTAGTGTTCAAATTAATCGAGTGAAAAAGAGTGTATTTTCGTTTTCGGTTATTAAAAGCCAATTAGGAAAATAGTTTGTAGTCGAATATCTTTTTGAACAGATAAGGAAAATTACTTTCTGCTTAATTTATATGATTGAGTACTGTAGCAATCTCAAACTTCATTGAATTCGTCTGGAGAAGAATTATTCGATTAATAATTTGGAACGTCCATTTTTTAAAACAGATTTTCATAGGTAAAATCTGGTGCATTCTTTTTCAATAGATTTCGAAACAACGATCATTGTGATAACGTTGAATATTTCTACACATTTAGACATAGTCTTCCATTTTGGTTGGAAGATAAATTTTTTTAAAATGTAAACACAAGGAACAGGTAAAATCAATTGAGCTATGTGATAGGTTTTATTTATAGGTTTTTGTTATCATGTGGTTCAATCAAGTTGTTGCTTGAACTTTAATTTTTTGTCCTATCACATTTAGGAATGGCTCCTTATCCAACAATGTATCCATTCTATGGCGCTTATCCTACAATGCCAATGCCTCCAAATGCAGCGTTTTCTCCCCCTAACATGATGCTTCCTGCTCATTCAATAGGTGGTAATGGTGCTTTTCCTAGTGTTGGTGGAGGCAATACTGACGCACATGCTCCCCTTGCTGGTGGTGGTCTTCAGGGACAATATCTACCTGGACAACCTTCTGCACAGCCTTAAAAAGATTTCTCTATGAACATTTGATTTTTGTTATATTCTCGATATCTTTGTTTAAGAAATGTTTCTTATGTCTGTGTTTTTGTACTACACAAAACGTGTATTTATTATAAGTATCCCATTTATTGATTTACTTTTCGACAATCTTTAAAATAAAAAATGACTTTAATGATCTAAAACTTTTATGTTTCTTTCTCATATTCGTCCTCTTCTATAAATAAAAAGCTAAAAAGTGACTTTCGACTGCTTGTATTTTTTGACTTTTATGAAGGTCATGATGAACAAGTGTTTTATGTAAGCAATAATCGATTTTTTTCACGAATAGACACATACACCTAATTTAGCATTATGATTGCGAATTCAATGTATATGCAAATTAAAAATAAAACTTTTGCTATTCAATCAGTAGTCCAATATTTTGGAACTGATATAGTCATTTCTCCGTGTGGAAATTCCAACTATAAGACTAAAATAAATTAGCTCTCTAAGCATGGAACGAAATCGATCCAGGCACTGATTATTTTTGAAGCCTAAATGACACTGAATGTACAAATATATATGTTTAGTTAATAAAATGTTGTTTTTTTGATTCATTCTTTTATGCTATCATTTTTACTTCACCTCACTTGCGTCCTCTACCACTAATGTAGGAGGATAGGTCGCCGACCATGATTCTCCAAACAACTCTGTCTTCTGCTCTCCTTTCCGACTTGCTATTCATCCTTTTGATATCTGCTTAAAATTCCATGCAAAATATGTTCCTTCGTCTTCAACTTTTCCTTTCCCCTTCAGGATTACGAGTGAGCATTTGCCTCGTGATTCAGTTTGGTGATTTCTTCAATGTATATCTTACCGACCACCAGTGTCTTTTTCTAATTCCCGCTTCAGACCTGGTCGTGGCTACATGTACCACAATTCACCATTCGTCAGATTTTAGAACACAAGCGCGCTTATCAGCGTTCGAAAATGATGGTCATTTTCACTTAAAAGGAGCATTTGATTCGGTAGACCGAGAGGTTCTGTGGCAGTGTCTATCATTGAAAGGCTTACTTCAAAAGTACATAAACTTAGTGAAGGCTCTTTACTCGAACACTACCAGTCGATTCATAGCTTATGGTGAACTGTCATCTGATTTCGCAACCTCAAGTGGTGTCCGGCAAAACTTCAATCCATAGAGTCACTAACGTTTGGCCTGAGCCATGTTGGTAGATACAGACTACTTGGTTGAGGTTCGCGCGTCTATTGTAACCAATGGTTGCAGACTGTGTGACATGGCTCAGAATCGGCCACAGTGATGTAGGTGTATACACTGTTTGTCTTCCTTTAAACCGTGAGATTAAAATTATTTCCACAAACTAATTGTTTCTCCCTGTATCATATCCCTATATGAAATCTATTTCACTACCATTGTAGCAACTATCTTTTGAATTTGGAACTCGTCTTGTTCTAATGTGGTGTGGCAACTTGGACCGATGCATATATGTGCCTGGTCCTACGTTGTAGCTGACTGATTGACTGAAAAATACTCAATATAATTATTGAAGTAAACTCTAGAGATTGAGATCGTTTGTTTCTTAGAACCGTCACAATCGAATTAAGGAAAATTAACTATAAAACTGAAATTATTATACAATAACTGATAGTACCGTGATGAAAGAATTAAGATGAGCGAATAATTTTAAGAATTATATGATCAATGACAGATATTGGTTCCTTTGAATCGTATCCTCCTGACATATACATAACATTCATTCATAATGCTTAGATTCTTAATGAGTTTACATGCAAACCTTATTCAGAAATGGAATGGAATTTCATTATAAAACTTATAAACTGCGTAAACAATACTGTGAATCAAAAAAGCGTGCAGAAGGCTATGAATCAGATGCCATGGTGACTTTTGCATTTCGAATAACAGCAGAAAATTGTTTTTTAATTTGTGAACAGTTTTCACGTACATGTGTACTATACTCCAACAAGAACGTTATTACTGTTCCAGTTAAAGGACATCTAAATTTAGTTATTTTTCAACTGTTTATTTCCGAATTGATCACTTCGCCTACATAAATAATCTGATCTGAATAATTTAGACAAATGAAAATCATATATATATTTAAGGTCATATAATTTTGATTATTTCTGTTCTCTTTATGTCGTTTCATGCGTCGCCTAGAAATGATCAATAATACACAAGTTTAGACATCATTTTCCTTCAGTCAAATGCACTTATCAAACCATGAAGATGAATTCGTATGTATTATTTAGTGTTCACAAATAAGACAATGACTTTATAAATATTGTAGCAGATTGCAAATGTAACTACCAAAATAGTAACCAAGTTATTAAGTAATAACAACAACACATTACTGTATTTAGCGTTTGTTATACAAATATATAGTGTTATTATTATTTTAACACACAGATATTGTTACAAGGAGGCACCAAATACATATGCGCCACACAAATCTCATTTGATATGTGTGAGGGCTGTGATACAGCCCGGGTGCCCAGACCGAAGCAGGTGGTTTTCTTAGAGCGCCACTCCCCGAGCCTTCGACCTGAAGGCCTGATCCACAAGGCAGTGGAGCATCGTAAGGAAGTGCAGTCCCATGGTAGCCGGTGACCAACAATTGGTTCATATGTCATTTGTTCCCGCAGGATACTGGAGCCCATGTGCACCATTGGTTTGGAATCTGGTTAAAGCGCCGGACATTCGCATTTCGTCCTCTCATTTTCGTAAACAACAGTAATGCCACGAGAAGGCAGTGAGTAGGACTTCTCTGGCAGAGGCTATATACGCGTGGCCATGTGAAAGCATTTCGAGAGGGAGAGCGGACTCTCCCCACTCTTGGCCGTACCAGGGCATTTGAGGGCTTTAAGTAATAACGTTTAGAATCAGTTAAGGATATAAATACGCAGGTGAAATTCAGCCGTCTCTTGTTAGCTCGACTGATCGATCACCAGGTCCACAATTATAACGTGTAATTAGTAATTACAAAACGTAACAAATAATCCAAAGTTTTCTACTATATAAAATCTAGTATTTAGGGAAAGACTTTATCTTTAAATGTATATGCTAGTTATATTATTATTTAGTATAGAAGTCAGTATGAAATTATATAATTGATCTGATAATATAGTATTTGGTCGAATGAGAACGAAGAGTAGTATGAGCACTTATGTATTTTGTGAATGGTAATCTATGGGCCATGCAATCGGTGTCGGAAATGTTCCAGGTCAAAACTAAACAATTTGATCGAAATCAGTAATTGAATAAACTGCAAAAAACATGAATAATGTTGAAAATAATTTACAATGTAAGTCTATGTTAATCATCACAATATCAATCTATGGGAGATTTCAGTTAAGGTCCACTTGTTTTAAACTATTCGGTATTTAAACAAAACTTTGACAAACATCGAGTTATTAATATAGGGATTCAAGGTGATTATAATATTTCCACCTTCGAAATCACGAACTGATCCAAGCTAGACTACCATTCAAAATCTGGAAGCACTGGTCGGCGATTTCGTCCTAGTATCAGACTCCAAATTAATGAGAATCTACGACCCCCGCCACGGAAATCGGACTCATAAAAAGTAGCATAGTCTTCGAAATTCCTCTAGACTAATAACAATCATGTGCTCGCTAGTGACTAGCTTCAAGACATAAATTCTGGAGTTCTATTGAGAAGCCGTGACCAACTATTATTCGGTATGACAAATTTGCCCACCGCAGGCAATGAATAATGGGTTGCACAAGATTATTAATTGACCAATGTTAGACAATAATACCGTTGGTTGCCGCCAAGTGATTTAGAAACTGAGTATTCTCTCATGAGACCGAAGGTCATGAGTTGGATTACCACTTCCAAGGTCGGGAATGTGCATTGCCGATGACGAAATGACCATCCAGAAGTACCAGGTTTCTAATGATGATCTAACCAAGACCAATTCTTGATTTCAACGATGAAAATATGAAGTTGGTAAATAATGTTTACTCTGGGTCGTAAAGTCAATAAATATTTAGGTCTAGGTGACTTCAAAAGTGGCGTACCCAAAGACACCATCTTAGGTCTCCTACTTCTCCTTCTCTACGTCAATGAATTACCGTCATTGTTTAAGTCGTCAACATTATTTTTTGTGGAGGATGTCAAAAACCGGAGAACAATAGGCAGCGAGGCTGGTCATTTTGATCTCCAAGCTGACCCTTACGAGTGAGTTAGACGGTTCAAAGTTAGGAAGTTGGAAATTAATTCTAGAAAAATTGTGCTCATGCGTATTAGACACAGTGACAGTTACCAGTATACTATCGACGGTACATCTTTTCCATGCGTGCAGGAACATATAGACTTGGAGGCTACAGTGAATCACGACTTGAGAACAACAACGCATTGCATTGCAGCTGGTGCCAAAGGTTTTCGTGCGTTATAGTTACTTCACCGAGTATACAAATGCTTTGACGAGGAGGGGTTCCAAGTTTTTTTATACCATCTACGTAAGACCACATTTAGATTACTTTATCCAAGCAGCTGGTCCAGGTCTTGTTGAGGATATTTACTCGCTTGAGTGTGTTCAGTTTTAGGAACAGAATTAGTGAAGTGTCTTTCTAAACTCCCTTACAGTGAGAGCTTAAAACGCCTAAAACTTTTCCCCTTATCGTATCGTAGAACGTGAGGTGACCTCATATTGGCATTGCGTATCTTTAGTTACGATTTAGGTGTTAATACGTTTCATCTTTCTGCTCCGACCAGCAATAATATTCTTCGAGACCATAGCAAGAAGATTCATAAACCACAATCTAATAAATTCAGAGTAGAATTCTGTTTTTCTCATCGAGTGGTCAGTGACTGGAACGCTTTACCCAAACAAGTGGTATCAGTTCCATCAATATACATTTCCAAGGAGAAGATGGACCTTCATTGAAAAACAAACTGTAACACAGGTCCACCAACCTACTATACTTATTACTAGAGACTGAAGATATAAGAGATACAAAAATACATCTTAAAAATAAACTCATTGAAATGAATTACGTTTATTTATTATTCTATGAAAATATTTGTAGACATTCACAAAATATTATGTAGAGCTGAGGATTTTGATTTATTTATTTATTAGGAAACTGAAATAAACAAACATCACCATATTTAGCAACTCAGCTCGTTTAGTAAAATGGTTATACTAATCAATAAATATATGATAAAAGTTGAAAGCACGAAAATCGATACTATGCATGTAAATTATTAATTTATTTAAAGGGACATTGATGTTTCTAATTCGCAACTATTAATTCAACGTTTTCAAACTGCGGTATCCATCTATCTATCTATCTATCTATCTATCTATCTATCTATCTATCTATCTATCTATCTATCTATCTATCTATCTATCTATCTATCTATCTATCTATCTATCTATCTATCTATCTATCTATCTATCTATCTATCTATCTATCTATCTATCTATCTATCTATCTATCTATCTATCGATCTATCTATCTATCTATCTATCTATCTATCTATCTATCTATCTATCTATCTATCTATCTATCTATCTATCTATCTATCTATCTA